AGCCGAGTCCGCCGTCAACATCCGGGTTAGAATTGGTCTTCAACAACCCAAGTGACTAAAGGTATCGGCCGCAGAGCTCCAGATTAGCTGCGTATCTGCGTGAAATACGCATCAGAAATGCAGAAATACGCAGTAAAATATAATCCAAGCGTATCAAATACGCAACGAACATTACAGATACGCTACCAAAAAAAATTGTGCGTATCATCAAAATATTGTGAAGTAACCCTGCGTATTCGATTAGCAAATCAGCAACTTATTTTGAAAATATAAACGGGCATTCCGTCAACCTTGCCAAACTCCACGATGACAGTCACATCATGATCATTGCCATCACACTTTCGTGTGGAAGTATCGTGGTATTTTTGAGTCCTATAAAGCTCTCAAACCCACACGACACCAGTTTGCAGGGACTAGATGAATATTGTTTTTAAATATTTAACTTAAATACCCACATGTGTAAAAACTAGTGGGTAACAGAAATTTGAATACGCAGATAGAATTACTGATACCCAATGATTTTAAAATGCATGGGTAAAATACCCACAACACCAAAAGCTTATCTGGAGCTCTGTTATCGGATGGTCAGGTTCGTGATGACAACCAGCTGGATTATGCCGAGTGCGGCGTTAAACAACAATCTATCTTGAGCTGATACTTTGATACTGTCCGGTCCGGACAGGTGCTGAGAGCATGAACATCGATCAACGCAGTTGGATACGTTGACACAGTCAAATTCAATTCTGTTCTGCTATCAAGGTTTTGTAATTCGGCAATCGACGAAATGTTCCTCCGCGCCATTAAGGTGTGTTAGTCGTGACAATTCAGCCGTCCTCCGTGGGCGTATCCCAATATACGCTCTCTTGCCATCTTTCTTGAACCCCCGTTCGTCAAAAGAAATCTTGGGGCAACAGCGATCGTTATTCCCGCACTCAATTATACAACACAGACTTACAATCATCGTAACGCTAAGATTGCTTTGCAAAGACCGTTGCAAAAAGTGAGCTCAGCCCTAGGATTGTCGTAAGTCTGTTAAAGTACGAGTGCGTATGTGAGTCTTGGCTCTACCATCGCTCTGTGAGCCCCAGGCCCTAATTACGCGGAATATGGTACATGTATTTGACATTTGTTCATGACATGCAGGGTTCATACTTGTCCTCTGTCTCATCAACCGGCATCGGCATCGGAAGGTAGGGAGGAAGGAACCGGGGCTCTTGTTCTTAGCTGACGATGATGATCCTGTCTTTTGATGTTTTTGAAGAATAAAACGCATACCTAGGCAGGTACAGTGATACTCTCTGAAACCAATTTTCACAAAAATACACATCCAAGGTTATCTCCTTGAGTGAGTGAGTGAGTGAATAGGATTTAACGCAGCTTTTAACAGTAGTCCAGTTATATCACAGCGTGTCAGCTTAATGTGGGAGGAAAGCCTGAAGTGATGCAGGTCTCAAGACGTTTACCACTTCGGTGAAACCCACGAGCACGGGTATGGTGCTGACAAACCTAGAAACATAATCGGGGCGAAGCAGGATTCGAACCCACAATCATAGGTTTGTGGCATGCCCAAGGGACGCAACTCTGCACAGCGAATCGCGGCGCCTTAGACGACTGGGCCACCCGTGCCCCCTTATCTCCTTGAAAACAAACAAGTACTAATATAACACCATCATAAATCTTTCAACATTCTTTAATCTTCCTTCAGTATTTACATATGTTCATATTTACAATGTAAACAACAGCGAGTAACTATAGTACACATATTTAACAAAACGTATTACATGGTAAATGAGAAAAAAAAAATCATGAACGCAAGACTGATTTAGCATTAGCACATGGTCAGGGCGCTTGCACCTCTCAATAATCACTTCAGTTCCAGTGGCACAAGTGAAATTATTTTGGAATGTGAAATTGGACGGATAATCTATTACCTCCAAATGTGTTAGATCACTGTCATAAAGAAGTAAGATTGAAGCAGCACTTGAAAGAAACTTTCATTTTGAAAATGGTTTACATTTGTGTCAAATGCAACAGGTAAACATATTTAAATGACACATTACAAGGAGGTTGACAATCACTGATATGAACTAAAGTGAAACCCTGCCAATCTGGACAGTGTCTTTTCCGTGACAAAGTCTGAACTTAGCAAAAATCCAAATTTATTAATCATTTTTAATAATGTCCTTTCATAGAACACATTCTACACAGTGCAACCTTAACCCGGTGTTTCTGGAGTAACAGATTACATGTATAATTACTGAATTTCTATGTTTCCTAGCAACATAACTGCTTCAACATTATGAAACACCCCTCACATGGGTCATGTGACATAACACAGTAGCAGTCTTAAAGGAGGAGTCACTCATCAAGGATAAAGCTGGCCTTGAACTAAACTGATCTGTTTATTTTGAAGTCAAGTTAAGTAACTTCTGAATATCTTAGACAATAGGACAAAATAAAGTAACTATTACAAATGAAAATATGTAAAATTTAAAGCACAGAACAAAAAAAGGAACTAAAAATATACCTCAAAATTTACAAATCATTAGTACAAATGCTGATTCATTAAGTTTCTGCTTTGGTGTTATTTAAAGTCACACACACTAAAAGTCAACAATAACTTAGAAAATTTGACAAAAGCATTACATGATATTAATTTATTGATTTTGCATTCCTTTAAAGCTATTTCTCTTCAATTAGATGCAATGGGTGTCTTTTCAAACTGCACACATCAACTATTGGTTGTGCTGCATTTGAATTACTGAGTCTGCCATTCAGACCACAAAGAAATACATTGTATATCATCTAGTGCTCAGGTTGAATTTCTCTACTGACAACTGTTGCCTATGACATGTTAATATTTTTCATACATTTAAACATGTTTAACAGCTAAAGCTAAAATGCTGGAAATAAATTAAGACCTGGGGACCCTTGAGGTTCGTTGCTATAGTGTTTGAATTTAGGGACCCAAATATAATCATTGTTGGCTTGCTTGTCTGTCTGTCATTAAGGCCGCACTCAGCGATATTCCAGCTTTACCATGGCGGCCTGTAAATAATTGAGTCTGGACCAATCCAGTGATCATTGTCATGAGAATTAAATTATGCAATTGGGATAAGATGAATGCAATCTTTTTTTTTTACAAGAACCTATAGACTTTCATGTTTAATTTCGTAAACTGCTTTGAAATATTTACTTTATACAAAACTGGTGAAGAATAAAAAGATTCAATATACAACATAGGTATGTCCTCAGCACATTCAGACATAAATCATATATTACGGAAAATTTAAATCATGATGAATAATGCTTGTCTCTGAGAATGTACAGCCCTGGGCAACCATTTCATAACATAAGAATTAAGATGATTCAAATTCTCATTCTCACAGTCTGTGCCAAAAAGTTTTGAGTCTACTCGCCTAAACATGGCTCTTAGCTTTATTTTTCAGTTTAATGTAGTGTTTTCATTTGGTATATTATGTTCTGAGCTTACTGGACCAAACAGAATTTTACTGGCCTTAGGCTTCGGACAAGTGTCTAAAGTTGCAGAATGCTTAGGTTTACACTGTGGGCCTCAGGGCTGATATCGCTGACTCTACTTAATGCAGGGGTAGAAACTAACATGTTTAGTCCACTAGTGAGTGAGTATGTTTTTACACCGCTTTTAGCAATATTCCAGCAATAACACAGCTGGGGACACCAGAAATGGGCTTCACACATTGTACCCATGTCGGGAATTGAACCTGGGTCTTCGGCACGACGAGCGAACGCTTTAACCACTAGGCTACCCGACCGCCCCTAGTCCACTAGTCCTTACAATGATAACATATAGCAAAGCCCTTAAAAATTACAAATTTTCTACTGGTCCTTAGGATACCTTAACTACTGGCCAGTTTGGCAAGGACTACAGGTCTAGTGCCAGTTTCTAACACTGCTGAATGTGTCTAAATACTGATCCTGAGGCTGTGTGTCATTGATATGAAACTAAAAGCCTGCATCCTATTTCACAAAGCATCTTCCTATACATTAACAAGGGGACAGTGGTACTAATAACCAAACTTGGCTTTGGAACACAGGATCCTATAGGAACTAAGAATTCAGGAGTGGTAATGATAAGACTTGTGGCAGTGATTTACCAAGGGACTCCCCAGAAGATATTGGGGGTGGGTCCAAGGCATGGATATGGGGGTTCCAGGATGGACACCTGATTTCCAAGAATAAATTGATGCCATACCATTTCACATGCTCAGAAGCCTAAAAAGCGATCCACAGCACTGCATTGCTGTCAGAGTTGCATCCCTTTGATGTGCCAGGATCTGCTGATTTTCAGTGATTATGCCCCTTGGCCTGTCCATAGGACGACTCATACTTCCAATATGCCTAGACCTGAATCACTCTGTGTCTTTTTCTCCCTCAAGCTGTAGCACTATGCTAATCAGTGGTAGAAATTGTCACTAGTCCTGTCGTCCTTGCCATACTGCCCCAAAGTAAGGTATCATAAGTACCAGTAGAAGTTTGCCATTTATATGAGTTTTGCTATATGTTGTCTTTATACTAGTATACTAAATCAGTTAGCCAATACCTGTAAGAAATGGGGATTTCAATTATTAATTTAAGAAAATCAAACCCTGGACCCTGAACTTAGAATAGAATTGCCAGTTCTTTGTAGCATGCAGTCTATAATAAGGATAAACAATGATTAAAAAATGTTGTCTTGTTTCCCACAGAGATTGCAGTATAAATTAATAGTGTCCATTGTCAATTTGTAGGTGTACGGGATGCAATATGCTGCATCCTGTCGAGCTGAATGTGGATGTGTGATACTGAATAAATTAAAGTGAGTGATTGAGTTGGGTTTAACGGCGCTTTTAACAATATTTCAGTTATATCACGGTGTGTCAGCTTAATGTGGGAGGAAAGCCTGAAGTGATGCAGGTCTCAGACGTTTACCACTTCGGTGAAACCCACAAGCACGGGTATGGTGCTGACAAACCTAGAAACATAATCGAGGAGCAGGATTCGAACCCACAATCATAGGTTTCTGGCATGTTCAAGGGACGCAACTCTGCACAGCGAATTGCTGCACCTTAGACGACTGGGCCACCCGTGCCCCCAAATAAATTGAAGATGGGGTTATGAAGATGATCCTGTTATACAGATTCTCTGAACACAATGGGGGATGGGAGAATTATTTAAAATTGAATAATGCCAGGACTTTTATCCACAATATTCTCACCAAGATAGTTGCAGCTATGGGCTATTCCGCAAAGTCATATTTGTGCTACTGCAGCAACATAAAGAAATCTTATGCAATATAGGGTTTCTCAGAGCCCAGTGAAGACTGGTGGCCATCGGTGCCATAACAAAAGCACTGGCCACACAAACACACATCAAGATTCCATTCCACCAACAAAACCTATACTATACCAAACATGCCTAAATAATCCGAGAACCAATCAATCAGTTAAAGAAGAACTGATCATAAATATTCCTACAATAGGCTTCGAAGTACAAATGGTCAGCGTTAGAAATTGGCACTAGTCCTGTAGTCCTTGCCAAACTGCCCAGTAGTTAAGGTATCATAAGGACTAGCAAAAATGTGTACTTTATAAGGGTTTTGGTATATGTTATCATTATAAGGACTAGTGGTTCAAACCTGTAAGTTTCTACCGCTGATAGTCATTCTGTTTTCAAGTATAGTGTAATAACAACTGGGGAGGTATTAGCCTTAGTAATAGTGCCAGGTCCCCCATTCCTCAAAGCTATCTTAGCACTAAGATGATCGTAACTCCTATGCTTCAACAAAGGTACCGTGAAGACTATGGGTTCGAATTGGTCATAAGAGGTGACAAACAGTATTGGGTGGTCAGACTTGCTGACTTGGTTGATGCATGACATCTTATCCCAATTGCGTAGATTGATGCTCATGATGTCAATCATTGGATTGTCTGGTCCAGACTCGATTATTTACATACCGCCGTCATATAGCTTGAATATGGTTGAGTGTGGCAGGAAAAAACAAACAGACCAATTTAACAAAGGCTTTTGATAGTGGTAGTGCTCAGTTCGCTTTGTAGAACGGGACCCAGGGCGATAGCAGATTATTTGTCTACTGACTAAGCAAACTTCACTACAATCAGACCTGCTCATTACTAAAACACAGTATGGATCAGGCAAACTGGCTGTTGGCATGAGCAAATTGTCAGGTTGAAAGTACATCAGCATAAATTTAGAGGACATGGCAGAAGTGATAGTAAGATCTACACCTGTTCCCAGGATGGACATCTTACACCAGACACTGGGCCACCTGTTCCCAGGATGGACATCTTACACCAGATACTGGGCCAGCTGTTCCCAGGATGGACATCTTACACCAGACACTGGGCCACCTGTTCCCTGGGCGTGCAACTTACACCAGACACTGGGCCACCTGTTCCCAGGGCAGACATCTTACACCAGACACTGGGCCACCTGTTCCCTGTTAGACATCTTACACCAGACACTGGGCCACCTGTTCCCAGTGCGGACATCTTACACCAGACACTGGGCCACATGTTCCCAGGGCAGACATCTTATACCAGACACTGGGCCACCTGTTCCCAGGATGGACATCTTACACCAGACACTGGGCCACCTGTTCCCAGTGTGGCCATCTTACACCAGACACTGGGCCACCTGTTCCTAGGATGGACATCTGACACCAGACACTGGGCCACCTGTTCCCAGGATGGACATCCTACACCAAACACTGGGCCACCTGTTCCCAGGATGGACTTCTTACACCAGACACTGGGCCACCTGTTCCCAGTGTGGACATCTGACACCAGACACTGGGCCACCTGTTCCAAGGGTGGACATCTTACACCAGACACTGGGCCACCTGTTCCCAGGATGGACATCTGACACCAGACACTGGGCCACCTGTTCCCAGGATGGACATCTTACACCAGACACTGGGCCACATGTTCCCAGGATGGACATCTTACACCAGACACTGGGCCACCTGTTCCCAGGGTGGACATCCTACACCAGACACTGGGCCAGCTGTTCCTAGGATGGACATCTTACACCAGACACTGGGCCACCTGTTCCCAGTGTGGCCATCTTACACCAGACACTGGGCCACCTGTTCCTAGGATGGACATCTGACACCAGACACTGGGCCACCTGTTCCCAGGATGGACATCCTACACCAGACACTGGGCCACCTGTTCCCAGGATGGACATCTTACACCAGACACTGGGCCACCTGTTCCCAGGATGGACATCTGACACCAGACACTGGGCCACCTGTTCCCAGGGTGGACATCTGACACCAGACAATGGGCCACCTGTTCCCAGGGTGGACATCTTACACCGGACACTGGGCCACCTGTTCCCAGTGTGGACTTCTTACACCAGACACTGGGCCACCTGTTCCCAGTGTGGACATCTGACACCAGACACTGGGCCACCTGTTCCAAGGGTGGACATCTTACACCAGACACTGGGCCACCTGTTCCCAGGATGGACATCTGACACCAGACACTGGGCCACCTGTTCCCAGGATGGACATCTTACACCAGACACTGGGCCACATGTTCCCAGGATGGACATCTTACACCAGACACTGGGCCACCTGTTCCCAGGGTGGACATCCTACACCAGACACTGGGCCACCTGTTCCCAGGATGGACATCTTACACCAGACACTGGGCCACCTGTTCCCAGGATGGACATCTTACACCAGACACAGGGCCACCTGTTCCCAGGATGGACATCTGACACCAGACAATGGGCCACCTGTTCCCAGTGTGGACATCTTACACCAGACACTGGGCCACCTGTTCCCAGGGTGGACATCCTACACTAGACACTGGGCCACCTGTTCCCTGGGTGGACATCTGACACCAGACACTGGGCCACCTGTCTCCAGTGTGGACATCTTACACCAGACAATGGGCCACCTGTTCCCAGGATGGACATCTTACACCAGCACTGGGCCACCTATTCCCAGGGCAGACTTCTTACACCAGACACTGGGCCACCTGTTCCCAGTGTGGACATCTGACACCAGACACTGGGCCACCTGTTCCTAGTTGGGACATCTTACACCAGACACTGGGCCACCTGTTCCTAGTTAGGACATCTTACACCAGAATACCTGTTTCAAAGGGCAGTCACCTTACACAAAGCACTTTCTTACAACAGCACTACTATACAGTCCAGAGATCAGTCATGACTGAACCTAAACATCTTAATTTCATGAATTACTATATTTAAAGTCATCAAGATATGAATGAAGAAGATATTCAGAAATATGATACTTGGGATACAAAATAATCTCATTTTGTGCAGAAGAATTCATTCTCAGCTAAACCACGAACATCACAAATAAGGATATTCTCCTTCTTTCCCGATTTTCCATTTTCACGAATAGAAGAGGTATCCGTCTTGTCACTTCCCTGAGTAGCCTCACTCTGAGTTATCTCCCTTTTGGCACCCACTTTGCTCAAATCGCCTGTCGCTTCTTTTGAACAATTCTCACTTGGTGTCTTTGATTCTAGGGGAACAGATTCAACACTTGCGTCATCAAAATTTAATTCACTTGGCAGAAGCAAACTAAACATGGCATCCTTCTCAGGTGACTTTTCCCTTTCGAGGGTTTCAACACACATTTCATCAGCCAAGCATTCCACAGGCTGATTTTCTTCTGTTTTAGAAACAGGTTGATTCACCACTTTTTGAATTTTGTTTATCTTTTCAGCTTGTTCGATGGTGGGCAACCTTGGTTCTTTCTCAGGGCCTTTGTCATCACACACCCCATCTGTGGCATCAAGGTCGTCACAGTCGTAGTTAAGTCTTGCTGCATTTTCAATGAACGATTCCACCTGCAGGATCGCTTCCTCAGAATTTGATCTCTGCAGCGTCCCTTTTCCTGATTTCGCAGAACCCTTTTCCCTGAGTTTAATATCACCCTTTTCCTTTTGAACTGGAGAATTTTGCATAGATGGAATTTTCCCTGAATTTTTAACACACTCTCCATCCTCTATAGTTCCTCCCTGTTCATTCACGATCGCCTTACCAACTTTTTCAAATTTCAATTTCATATCCGTAATATCTTTCACATTCTCAGCCAAAACATTTTCAGTTGTCTCCTTTTCCTCAATGTCTTCATTCACAGATTCTTCGTCGTCATCTTTTTCAATCTCGATAACAAACTTTTCACTTTCAGACCAAACGCAGCTTGGGTTGTTTGGATCAACCTTCATCCCAGGAGCTGCTCTTAGTATGTCTCCGATGGAATTGCCATTGGTCTCCTTTGCATTACAAGTCCTGGCCTCAGAGCTCAGACTTGTTGATGGCGATCCGATCGAGGCAGAAGCAGCAGACGGTGACGGAGCTGACGTATCCTTCTCCTTCTCTGCTTCCTTCTCATCTAGGGATTTCTGCCTGCCATACTTGATTATCTTCCTCAGTAGATGCCTCTTGGAGTGCCGCTTCAGTTCTTGCTGTTTAACTTCCTCAAGATGGGATCCAATGACTTTAGCTGATACCCCCTTCTTCAACAAGCCATCTGAATAAATATGTGATATTTATAATTATAGGTAATGGATAAAAGTATCATAAAAATGCCTGCATGTTATGAGAGTGAACAATGGTTTTACGCCGCTTTTAGAGATATTCCAGCAATATCACGGCGGGGAACACCAGAAATGGGCTTCGCTCATTGTCACATGTGGGGAATCAAACCCTTGTCTTCATCATGAAGAGCGAACGCTTTAACCACTAGGCTACTCCACCCCACACCCCCCCCCAATGTTGAAAGACGTCATGTTTCATCATCATCCAAGTTAATGTTCTATGATGTTGCTATTTGTAAATCAATGACCTCAATCACAAGGTTTTTAATACAACCACTAAACTAATGTTGCGGTTTGTTGTTTTCTTCACCATCATTTTTGGATTAGTTTCTTACTATAAGGATGATGATTTCAGGGTATTATCATTTGCAGAAGCCTTGGTGTGTTGATAATGTCCTGACAAACTGCTTTACCCTTATAGTAATGTAAGTGAAGGGGTCCTCGTCATAAATCTAATGTTCAAAAGTAAACATATGGGGGGGGGGGTGTCCCTAGATTCCAGTACCACAGCAAAGATTATCAAGCATCCCAGGACAAACTTTAATTTGAAACACTGTTTAAATAAATTAATTTTTTAATATGACAGTGCTCTGTAAATAATCGAGTTAGGACCAAACAATCCAGTGATTGACATCACTTGTGATACCATGACATACATCACCAAGTCAGACCACTCGATCCCGTTAATCTCATCTAACAACAAGCATAGGTTGCTGAAGACCAATTCTAACCCAGATCTTTACAAGGGGATAAATGCAATACCACAGTGTTGCAAATTAAATTAGGGGCACTTCGGGGGTCCTAAAGGTTTATGTGTGTTGTAATTAAATGTGGGGACCCCCAAAATCTTTAACAATAAATACAGTGAGTGAGTGAGTGAGTATGCTTTTACGCTGCTTTTAGCAATATTCCAGCAATATTATGGCAGGGGACACCAGAAATGGGCTTCACACATTGTGACCATGTCGGGAATCGAACCCGGGTCTTCGGTGTGACGAGCGAACGCTTTAACCACTAGGCTACCCGACCGCCCCTTACCATAAATATAAGGGTTATGACAAGGACCACTTGACTTTCAAGCTTAATTTTGAAAAATGCTGATATATCAACATACTTTCAAAAATGTCTCAAATAACAAGTATTTGGATCAAAACAAACAGAAAAATTATTCAATTATTTATTCATTTTTGTGTTTATTGATAAAGTTGATAGTGGAAACATGGAATTGATGTAAACTATGGATATTCAAAGTGGAAGCATGGCATCAATGTCAACCGTGGATATTTTAAGTGGAAGCGTTGCATTGAGGTCAACTGTGGATATTTTAAGTGGAAGCGTTGCGTCGAGGTCAACTTTGGTTATTTTAAGTTGAAGCATGGCAGATGTCAATGAATGGCCCCATTGCTTTTCAAGCTAAATTTCGACCACTGCAAGACATTTATTAAACATCGTCCAATGACATCAACTGGATAGATGTACCGCCATTAAACAGGGATCATAAATGTAAAAGTTTTCCTAACTCCTCACCAACAGCGACCCGGAGCCGCCGCCTCTGTGCCCGGCGGTAGAACTTCTCCATCTTCAGGTCCTCAATCAGCTGGGCGGAGCGCTGTTTCTCACATTCGATGGTCATCAGCGCCTAAAAGAGTGGCCATTGGTCAGATCTCAACATTGCCATTGTCAGATGCTACCACACTGCATTTTTTTGTGTTATGCTTTGTTTGTGCGTACTGGATGCACATTTCCTGGTTGCGTATATATACATACATACATGCATAGAATACTAAATGAGCTCATAAAAATTGTGATTATACAGGAGCAAGTTTGGTATTTTATTTATCACTTTCCGTTTATAACTTTTTAGAAACATTTCACTGTTGTGTGTGAAAAGGCAGATATCTATGCGAGCCACAGCATAATTGAGTTTAACAAAACAATAGTTCAAACATTAAAAAAGTTTACATGTATTAATACAATACCTTACAACAGCCCATCTTTGGAATTTAGGGGTCCATTCCATAAAGCTATTGTAAGCTAAGTTAAGATTATCCTACCTCCCATACTGTAACATAGACTTACGACTACTGTATTCGACGTAATCAGCGCCCCGCTCTAATAAGCCCCCATGGCGATATTTCTTAATTTATTGGCTAGTGAACAATCCCAATCAGCACCCCTTCTAATTGATCAATGTACACACGACTTATTTATTCACATATAATACACACTCGTGTGTTATATGCATCCTTAATTAAGGGCAATTAAATTCTGGAAAAATATATATGTTGTATATAAACATTTCAGGTTGTCAGCATAAACCACGAAATTTATCTTTCAACTCTGTTTTTTTCATCAAAATATTATTCTAATAAGAGCCCCCTATTTCTAATTTTGAGAGCGCCCTGGGCGCTTATTACGTTGAATACGGTATGTGCTATGCTCGCCTTGTGGAACAGGGTCCTGCACCACAAAGTTTACAGTCACAATACCCTATGACTTATTTTGAGAAATTTTGTTGCAAGACACACTGGCGAAACCATGCCATGTCAGGTCAGCCTAGCAACAAGGTTGCTGGGGTCATCGAGTCTGCACAAGTTCCTCTCGGTGATCTATCATCTCTTAGAGCAATGCCATTGAATTAGCCAAAGGATGTTGAGACTTTTCAATATTAGGCGGTGGAACTTGTTCCCACAGTACATAAGCACACGCTTTGGTATTAAACACTGTGCAACACCAGTTTGTTGTTATAAAACAAGTGACTGATATTATTAACCCATCACTGAGGCTGACCTCCAGATCCAATCAGTAGCATTGTACAACAAGCATACATTGCTGGAGGCCAAATCTAACCTGGAATCTCCACATTGTCAATTTTACTCCAGACCATAACAATAATTCTTTGCATCTCTTTTCGAATCCCTTTAATTGATACATCATTGTTCTGGTTGCCATGGTTGTTGTTGTTGGTTTGTTGTTTAACGCCACTCTCAGCAATATTCCAGCTATATGACGGCGGTCTGTAAATAATCGAGTCTGGACCAGACAATCCAGTGATTCAGTTGCCATGGCTACTCACAGCATCCAGCACCTTCTGTCTGGAGAGGGTCACAGGGGGGTTGTCCTCCCCCTCAGAGATGCTGTTATACAGATACATGAACATACACAGGATGTCCTGTCTCCGAGCGCGCTCTCTGCAACAGGAAACAGAAGTGTTATCGACAGTAAGGCCACACGTTTTTAATTTTAAGTTTCGTGGATATATTTCAGCTTGCTTTATATATTTATTTATGTAGTTATTGAAATGATATATTTATATGAAAAACTGCAGCTGGCCTCTTGAATCACTTAAAGTGATGTAGACATTTTAAAATGTAATAGAGGGTCAAAATTACTGGGGTGGGGTGGGGTGGGGTGGGGTGGGGTGGTGTGGTGTGGTGGTGGGGTGGGTGTGGGTGGTGGTGGTTGCGGTTGTTGGTGTGGGTGATGGTGGTGGTGATGGTGGTGGTGGTGGTGGGTGTGGGTGTGGGTGGTGGTGTGGGTGTGGGTGGTGGTGTGGGTGTGGGTGTGGGTGTGGGTGTGGGTGTGGGTGGTTCATTAATATCTTGGACTGGCTTTTCAGTAGGGGTGGTGTGGCCTATTTATGGCTTGAGGATATTTCCACTGCATTTATCAATAAGCCAATCATATCACCACTGGGGACACTAGGATCTCACTTTAAACATTGTACCCATGTGAAGAATCAAACCCTGGTCGTTAGTCTCATGCATTAAAACCTTTACCACTAGATTGGCCCATCATTTCTCGAAACAAATAAACTAATAGTGAGTGAGTTTGGTCTTACACTGTCTTTTGCAGTACACCAACAATATCACGGCAGGGGACACCAGCAATAGGCTTCACACAATGTACCCATGTGGGGAATCGAACACTTTCACCACTAGGCTATCCAACCTTAAAATAGACTCACATCAGAACTTCACCACAATGTGGTCATAATGTCTTGATGGGTGATGGGAGGAATGCAGTTTATACAAAACTTGTGAAGTATTGACGCCCCAGAAAGGCACACTTTGGAGAACAGTCTTAAAATATAACAGAACAAACTCATGGGGAAGGTGGTATCTCTTAGTACATTCATGAAGCGGTGAGGTGGTGTGAGGTGAGGTGGTGTGAGGTGGTGTGAGGTGGTGTGAGGTGAGGTGGTGTGAGGTGAGGTGTGGTGAGGTGAGGTGGTGTGAGGTGAGGTGGTGTGAGGTGAGGTGGTGTCAGGTGAGGTGGTGTCAGGTGAGGTGGTGTCAGGTGAGGTGTGGTGAGATGGAGTTTTTCAAGATCACATTCAAGATAACTGGGCTAAAATAGCGACTTGCATGTGCTTGTACGTGTGCGTGTGTGTGTGTGTACTAGCCATGACACACTTGCTGCCCCACTCACACACAGTATACTGACTGAGCCGACCAGTCCTTATTTATCCTCTTACAGCTGAGCCCAAGGCAGGGTAACAACAAGTACTGTCTTTTAATGTCTTTTGGTACGATGCATCTGGGGATCAAACCACCGTCCATCCACTCCCTGGACAGACAATTTATCCTCTAGTCCTTGGAGGCAGTCACATTTATAACAATTACATCTGGGAGTCCTTTTGGGAATTTCTGAGGTTTTCTTTTGGTTTGGTTTGGTTTGTTTGTTGTTTAACCCCGCACTCAGCAATATTCCAGCTATATGACAGTGGTCTGTAAATAATCGAATCTGGACCAGACAATCCAGTGATTGACATCATGAGCATCAATCCACGCAATTGGTATCGATGACATGCATCAACCAAGTCAGCGAGCCTGACCACCCGATCCCGTTAGTCGCCTTTTACGACAAGCATAGTCACCTTTTACGGCAAGCATGGGTTGCTGAAGACCTATTCTATCCCGGAATCTCCACGGGTCTCTGAGGTTTTCATAGTACACAGGGGCGGAGTAATTTATAACATAAGCTACTTACTTGTTGGTCTTCCTCTCTCGGACTTCTCCTCTGAAATCTTCCTCATCTTCCTGCAAAAATAATGACAGAAACTCATTTCAATGTTGCTTGCCCAGGACTTTCGTGGTTGAAAGGGAGATTGAGTTGTTTATGTTATGAATGACTAAGTGAGGTTTGGGCTGGCTGAATGATTCAGGTATTGGTAAAGTTAGTGTTAGGATTGAAGTCAGGACTTCAATGGTTGAAAAGGAGAAAGTGTAATTTATTTGGTAAAGTTGGTAAATCTTGGATAAAGTTAGGGTTAGGTGGTAAATCTTGGATAAAGTTCAGATTAGGTGGTATATCTTGGATAAAGTCAGGGTTAGGTTGTATATAGGATAAAGTCAGGGTTAAGTGGTAAATATTGGATAAAGTCAGGGTTAGGTGGTAAATCTTGGATAAAGTTCAGATTAGGGGGTAAATCTTGGATAAAGGCAGGGTTAGGTGGTATATAGGATTAAGTCAGGGTTAGGTGGTAAATATTGGATAAAGTCAGGGTTAGGTGGTAAATCTTGGATAAAGTTAAGATTAGGTGGTAAATACTGGATAAAGTCAGGGTTAGGTTGTATATAGGATAAAGTTAGGGTTAGGTGGCATATAATTGGATAAAGTTAGGGTTAGGTGGTACATATTGAATAAAGCTTGGGCTATGTGGTACATTCTAAAGAAAGTTAGGGTAAGGTGGAAAATATTGCGATATCTTCGGTGATACGCATATAGTGACTGGGTGTAATATATCAAGTAAAGTTAGGCGTTAATACCGTGGTATACATAAGGAGAAGTTACTTTTGAATGGATGGTTCAAGTGTGAACAAATGGATGAGACATCTGCAGGAGATGGTCAAGAGCCTTATAGGGTTATAAGGTTACAGGTGAGCCACTCTGACAGTATTTGCTTGTTGTCGGACATGAAACGCAGCAATATTCCAGCTAAATGACTGTGGTCTGTAAATAATCAAGTCTGGACCAGACAATCATTATATCCCATAGATTCCTCGCGGAGGTTTAATGTCAATGTACCTTGAGCTGTCTATACAGGGTCTCTCTGGCATCTTCCCGGGGGTGTGTGTCTGGGCCAACCCCCCCCAACACGTCCAGCTTCTCCTCCTGGCAATACAGTAGCGATGACTAGTGGGGACATTTTCACTTGTAAAACAGTCTTGCCATTGACATGGAGCCATGGACAATTTCAGTGAGGTCAATAGTACTATCAATTACAGCCCCATAATAAAGCCATTCCATATTATTGCTTAAGCAAAGGAGTGAGTTTTTCAGTATTAACAGTGGTAGAAGGTAACATTTTTAGTCCACTAGTCCACTGAAAATGGCCGATTTCTGCTAGTCCTTATGATACTTAACTATTGGGCAGTTTGGTAAGAATGACAGGACTAGTGACAATTTCTACTGCTGATTAGCATATTGCCACAGATTTATGGAGAAAAAGACACAAGTGATTCAGGTCTAGGGATTTATGATAAAGTGTTAGAAATTGGCACTAGTCCTGTCGTCCACGATTGTAGTGCCAAGGACAGGCCAATATGCGAAAATCAGCAGATCCTGGCAGGGCAAAGGGATGCAACTCTGACAGCAATGCAGTGCTGTGGATCGCGGGACCCCATATCACTGCAAGTGAGTGCACAAAGGGAGGAAACTGTTGTCACCTCTGTCATGTATAAACAAGTTGATTTTATGAGTACTTCCTTATCTCATCACCACCGGATGTAGAAACTGGGTCAAGAGAATGTGGGGAAGAAACAGAACTGTTGTCTAACCCTTTTCATGTCATGATGAAGAGTTGTTTTGAAATGATTGATATGACTGGCGGGATTAGTTGGCATAAAGCGTTAAACTGATGTTATTAGAAATATAATCCAAAATACTGCAATCAATGCATTTGTAAAGAGTTATAGACATTGTTGATCAACGTAGAACTAGGATAAGCTCACATGTACATCATACATAGCGTATAACATCATGATCCAGATACTTTCCCCAACTTTCAGTTTATATCAGCAGGGATTCAGCAAATGTCAAGGTGAGGTGAAATGAGGTTTAATAATTAGGTGTGACACAACTGAATCAGGATTCTAGTATCAGTAGTAATTACTTATTATGATTTTATATCATAAGTTCTGGATGACCAATATGTATTGCACATCAGTCAAGTATTCTGCAAAAACATGACATGAGAATTGATTCACCAACACTGATCAAGATGTGATGTGAAAAGGGGTTTAACATTGCATTCACGATTATTCACAATTAGAAACTAACAGTTTTAGCCCACTTGTCCTTATAATGATTACAAATTGCAAAACCCCTAAAAATGGCAAATTTCTACTAGTCCTTAGGATACCGTAACTATTGGGCAGTTTGGCAAGGACTATGGGACTAGACGCTGATGCACTTGTGTGTACGTGTGTGTGCGTGCGTGTGTGCGTGCGTGCGTGCCTGTGTGTGCATGGTCTTGTACTTGACCAGACTAATGCTGGTTTTATAGTTCTAACCCCACCAAAATACCATGCCCCAATTTCACATGGATACCCCTACTTAGACACAGCATGTTGACATTTAGTCCCTTCGTGTGGTGATCCAATGTTTTCACTACTGGGCCACCACCCCATTGTTCCAAAACTTGTTCGTTTTGTTTGTTTGTTGTCTAACAATGCACTCAGCAATATTCCAGCTATATGACGGTAGTAAAGTAAGAGTCTGGACCAGACAATCCAGGGATTGATATCATGAGCATTAATCAATGCAATTGGGATACGATGACATGCATCAACCAAGTCAGCCAGCCTGACCACCTGATCCTATTAGTCGCCTCTTACAACAAGCACAGTCGCCTCTTATAATACCACAGCAAACCAGATGACAACTCACATTGCAACCTACCTCTGATATGTTGATGGTGTGTTGACCTTGAAGCGAGTGTCCAGAAATGCTACAGCCGTCAAGGGACATCTGACTGTCGTCATCCGAGATATCAATGACAGGAAGGTTCATCCTTCCTTTGAACTTCTGAATGGGAGTGAGTTTCATTGAACTTTCAATGTTGGCCAAGATCTGACTTGGGCTGCCGAGAGCATCAGATGAAGGTCGTCCATCAACAAGTTTAATTCTCTTGCTTGAATCTGCAAAGGCTGCAGAATCGGAGTCACTTCGCTGCCGTTTTACGGGCAAAAATCCTTGTTGCGTTTTTTGCATTTTGTAAGCACCAGGGTTTGGGGTGGAAGTCTTAATGGTATCAGGTGAATCTAAGGACAAGGATCTGGCTTGTCTCAGTCCCCCATCAACAGCTCCACCTGAAGTTGATTGACCAGGTTTCCTGGCCACCTTCTTCTGACTAGACTCTTTGTCACCATCACCATGTTTCTTGTTTGTTCCAGCAGCTGCTTCACAGTATTCCACTTTGTTCTCCTTATCAGCTGTGTCCTGAAGAACATGGACCTGGTTAAGAGTTTGTTGAGCAGTTCCAGAATCCTCCTCATCAAGAGATGTGACTAGATGTGTTTCACTACTTACTTTCTTCTCTATGTCTTTTCCAACTGGACATTTTCCAGTGGCCATTGGTTGACTCTTTGACCCTCCTTTGCGAACCTTAGATCCCGAGGAACCATCTACCTCATCAAAGGATTCAACAGAGTTGGACTGATCTGACTTACGACCCTTTTTCTTCAGTCCTCTACTTGATGGTTCATCGGCTGACAGTGCATTTAGTCCCTTTGCAGAAGCTGGGTCGACATTCTTTTTCCTCCGCCTCTTCTTTGAAGGTTTAGCATCTTCCTCAACTTTGGTCTTTTCCTGTGATTTGTTTTCAACCACTTCCTCAAGTCTTAATATTGTTCCATGGGGGCCAGGGATGTACTTGGTGCCAAGAAGAGATTTTGTAATTTTGCTTCCTTGGGAGCCAACTGACTTAGCTGGTGGTACAATGGGAAATGAATTAGCAGGTAGGAATCTGAGTAATGGCTGGGTCGTTCCATCGGGGTTCTTCACCTGAAGCATCTTAACATCATTTATATCAGTAAATGGTCCATACAGTTTACCACCAGGAGTGCTGATGATTGTCTTTGTGGGTCTAGAGTTTCCTACTGTGGACACGTTAGTAGCAACTGGTGCACCAGCAAGAATTATTTGGGATCCAGCAGTCTGCATTGTCGGACCTGGAACTGGAACTGGAACTAGAATCTGCCCAATAGGTGGAGCTGCAGGTCCCCTAATTTGGAATGTCTGGTTCTGAATTGGTGGAAATGATTTTGGAGTACTTGGACGAACATGTTTCATGTCACCGGGAGATGGAAGTATTTTAACACTGCTTGCTTCATTTCGTCCATTTCCAGGTGGGTTCATGGACTTGGAATCCAAAACGAGCTGTTCTGGTTCGTCATGTGTGTCGTTGTGACTTGTCTCTACATTGTCATCAGTGAGGTCTATTGTCACCTCTCCATCCCTGACATAGCCAGCACCACCTGGTGACTCTTCAACACAGCCAAATATAGAAGCAAACTTTTCATCCACTGGGCCAGAAAGAGGAATCTTACCAAGCTTGTCCAGAGAAGAAGTAGTTGAACCCTTGAGGATTTTCGGCTTGGATTCATGAACTACATCACCTTGAGGACTTGGGAGTTTGGCTTTGTTTTTCTTTTTGACAGGCTCGTTTCCAGACGGTTTAGCTTCCTTTTCAGGTTTCTTCCCTTTCTTTTTACTATCCATGGTGCCTACGACCATTGATATTGAATCACCAGTCTCTGTGTTCTGTACTGTGATGTGCTCAATATCAGCTGAATCTGATTCAGCATCTCTGTGCCCAGATATGTCATTCAGTTTCAAGATTTCGGATCGATTTCCATCTATTGTCATAGTACTGTTGCCACTGGATTCCATGAATGTTGAGCTAGGGTGAGAGATCTGAAGGCGATTAAAACCTGAAATACCCATTGAAACAGAAGGTGCTGCAGATGAAGTTGCTGCTGAAGATGGGGCGGATGATGAAGGTGTAGGGGGATGGGTTTTCTGGTAAGTGTGGGACAATGCACCATTCTTATCCAGACCACCAAAGGATGTGTTCTTAAAGATTCTCCTTGAAGCTGTGTCACAAGACTGAACAGAAAAAGAATCTCGGGGTTTGTTCAAAGATGCTCGATGTTGTTTCAGATGTGCTGCTGCTGATGCTGCTTGGAACTTTTTGATATCCGATTCCGATGCCTTTCTCATCACTTTCACCCTTATCGAATACATATGTTCAGGCAGTTTGCCTTTTAGTTCCGGAGGAATGACAGCACACTTTTCAGCTTTTGGCATGATTTCAACAATGAAGTCACCAATGACCATCCTGCGAGGGTCTGGGTACACTCCTCTGCTCAGACACTGAGCTACCCGGCTGAGAATCTGCGGTTTGGCATTATCCCAGTTACAATTGGCCATGAATTCTAACAGCTTTATCTCTTCAGGTTCAGACTCTGACCCAGGGTCTTTGGTCTCCTTGGGTTTAGGATTGGCTTTCAGGCAAACCATCTGGGTGTGCCACTGTGCGTGGAGAAGATCTGTTGGCAATGTCCTCGATGGTTTTCTTTTGGGCAGCTCTGCTGCATGGGGCTTATGTTTGTCTGAGTTTTTCGGAGCACCATCTTTGTTCTGACAATCAATGGCCACTTTGGCAAGTCTGCGGCCCAAGTCCTGAGGATTAGGTCCAGGGGTTCCTGGCCGGCTTCCACCAGGGGTGATACTGATACTGGAAGCACCCGACTCATTCTCGGTCTTCTCGATTCGAACAACAGTGGGATCATTGGAGAGATTCCTATCCGATCTGTAACGAATAACAAGATTGGTCATTATTTAGGAAACATAGACTCTACGAGTATATTAATGGTGGTGTTTGTGATATTTCAATATTGCAATGGGGAGGCCTACAGTTGTCTCCACACACTGTACCCACATGGGATTCAAACTCAGCTTTAACCAATAGGCTGATGAGTGAGTAAGTTTGGTTTTACGACGCTTTTAGCAATATTGCAGCAATATCACGGCGGGGGACACCAGAAATGGGCTTCACACATTGTACCAATGTCGGGATTCGAACCCGGATCTTTGGCATGACGAGCGAACGCTTTAACCACTAGGCTACCCGACCGCCCCAATAGGCTGATGAACCGATGCACTGAATAATAATGATTACATGGCATGCATTAGAAAATTGTACAGAAATTATAAAAGATTACATTTGGGATTGAAGCACTTAATACATTTTTAAAATCCATGAATACTAACGTTTTAGTTGGACTGAATGCAGCTGATCTGGCACATGACGTCACGTCAGTGTTATCATCATCATCATCATCATCACTGATCTGGACAACCTCCTGAGATATGGAGGGCTGAAACAGAGCGTACAGTTGGTAAGTAGGTGAGCTGGATTAACACTCCTTTGAAAAGTGTCTAGATAATACACTACACAACTTTTGGTAGGGATAATCAGATATGTCATTCTATTTAGATTGTCACTTGACATATGAGAGTTAGATTTGAGTAGCATGGCAAGATAAGAATATCCCTATCAATAGTGGAGCAGTATATCACAACATTTTGATGCCTAATGTGTTTGGAAAACCCAAAGTTTATTGTTCTATTTGTGAACCCTGGTCATCAGTCACAGGTTACTTGGTCTCTGGGACTGGTTTGTTTGTTTGTTGTTTAACGCTGCACTCAGCAATATTCCAGCTATATGATGGTGGTCTGTAAATAATCGAGTCTGGACCAGACAATCCAGTGATTGACATCATGATTTGGTTTGTTTGTTGTTTAACGCCGCACTCAGCAATATTCCAGCTATATGACGGCGGTCTGTAAATAGTCAAGTCTGGACCAGACAATCCAGTGATTGATATCATGAGCATCAATCCACGCAATTGGGATGTATCAACCAAGTCAGCGAGCCTGACCACCCGATCCCGTTAGTCGCCTTTTACAACAAGCATAGTCGCCTTTTACATCAAGAATGGGTTGCTGAAGACCAATTCCACCCCGGAATCTTCATGGGTCTGAGCATTGATCTAAGCAATTGAGATACGTTGACATGCATCAACCTGGCCACCTGATCCTGTAAGTCGCCTTGTACGGCAAGCATGGGTTGCTGAAGACCTATTCTTACCCAGATCTTTACGGGGACTGGGACTGGGACTGGTAGTGTTCACATCAGTCTGAAGATTTGGTTGTAACTGTTACATGCCTTTCTATCGACACTATCTAAATTTAAATTTAAATTTAATACTTGAACACAGCTTAACTGTACAACAAAATACATGCATAGATAAGTCAACCTGCTTGTAGTGAGTGAGTACGGTTTTATGCCGCCTTTAGCAATATTCTAACATTATCACAGCGGGGGACACAAGAATGTACCCATGTGGGAACAGAACCCATGGCTTCTTTGTGACAAGCACACACATTAACCACCAGGCTACCAAACTGCCCCTAACCTGTCATTTGGCCAATTCACAAAAGACCCATCATTTATCAGTGCTGTTATCATTGGCAACAAATTGCATGAGCTACTCCTGCTTCATGGGGGACCCGTGAAGATTCCGGGTAGAATAGGTCTTCAGCAACCCATGCTTGCCGTAAAAGGTGACTAACGGGATCGGGTGGTCATTCCCGCTGACTTGGTTGATACATGTCATCGATACCAATTGCGTGGATCGATGCTCATGATATCAATCACTGGATTGTCTGGTCAAGACTCGATTATTTACAGACCGCCGTCACATAGCTGGAATATTGCTGAGTGTGGCGTTAAACAACAAACCAACCTGCTTCAAGGGGTCACCGGTGGCTCAGTCATCGAAGACACAGCCTTTCACACGCCTGAAACCTAGATCATGGGTTCGAATCCCTGTGGTTCTTCAGATTATTTTTCTAGGTTTGTCACCATACCCATGCTCTTGGGTTTCACCAAAGTGGCAAACGTCCGAGACCTGCATCGCTTGGAGCTTTCCTCCCTTTGGCTACTTATATCCCACTTTTGGTTCATTGCCATCGGATGGCTTCAGTTTAGTGAAGAAAAATAAAATGCTGTACAGTAATTTTCAATATCCCAAAATGATCAAAGGCACCAGTTCACCACAAGACTGATCTGTATGGCAAATTTCATCAAGAAATATTCAATGTTAGTTGAACGGATAGGGCACTACACTCAATTTCAGTAACATCCAATTTGTCGTTACTAAAACAAAATAAAAATCCACTAGATTGATCTGGATAGCAACTTCTGCTCCAGAAACGAAAAACGGATGGAGGACAGACGGACAGGCATGCTGATGACTATATCCCACCTTTTGCCAAACCAGGGGATCAAAAGTATCACCTGTGAAATCTATGTCACATTTTCAACATCATTTACATGATTAACAGACACTTAAACATATTAAAAAGAGAGAGAAGATTTTGAAAGTAAATATTTTCATATTATAGTGTGTAAAACCATGCACACCTTTCTTTTCATAACCTTAGGGAGTACTGGTCCCTTGGCCTTATTGGTAGGAGAGGTCAATTTGGACACGGCAGCTCTTGATCCAGGAGAAATTTCTTCAGTGTGCTGAAAAATTTCATTTGTAAAAAACTAAAAAATAAGATTAATTACTTAATACAAAATGGTACAAAAAAAGCAATTGTCAACGAAAGCAGGTTAAAAGTGTTAAATCACTTAGGTGAGTAGGTTCTTGACCTAATTTTAGCAACTTTCCAGCAATGCCATGGTCCAAGTCTCGCAGATAAATTTTAACATATTGCAGTCTGTGACTTTAGTCACTGGTCCGAAGCCCGAGTCTAGTAAAATTCTGTTTAGTGCAGTATGCTCAGTTAAAATATTCCATATGATAAAACTAAAATCTACTGACAATGATGCTTAGAGCCATATTTGGGCTAGTAGACTCAAAAGGTTTTGGCACAGACTGCATACTGTCCAAATGTTGGGAATCAAACCCAGAAATTCTGGTGAGGACTGACTGCTTTAGGTACTGGGCTACCTCTATGCCTCTTTGATCACTTGACATATAGATGTATTCCAGTTCTGTTGTAGGCTATCTAGGCTCAGGTACCAGTGGGGCGGTCGGGTAGCCTAGTGGTTAAAGCGTTCGCTTGTCACGCCGAAGACCCGGGTTTGATTCCTGACATGGGTACAATGTGTGAAGCCCATTTCTGGTGTCCCCCGCCGTGATATTGCTGGAATATTGCTAAAAGCGGCGTAAAACCATACTCACTGACTGACTCAGGTACAAGTGAGTGAGTGAGTTAGGTTTAACGCCGCTTTTAGCAATATTCCAGCAATATCACGACAGGGGACACCAGAAATGGGTTTCACACATTGTACCCATGTTGGGAATCGAACCCGGGTCTCCGGCGTGACAAGCAAACGCTTTAACCATTAGGCTAGCTGACTGCCCCTTCAGATACAAAGATAACTATGTGTAAATGGAGTCTGCGACTTCGAACATGCCAAATGCTACACAGTGAAAGAATTGTAAAAGTTAAAATACTGAGCTTCTGTCTTGTTGGGATCTTAAAATACTTTCATTGTTTATGTCACATCCAAAACACAAATCTTTTTTATACAAGAAATAATGAGATTCAGATTTTCATGGACAGCTGCATGCAAGTCCTGCTCAAAAAATAATTTCTGTCCACTCCACAATACAACACAAATAACACTACATCTACATGATGGCTGGACAAACCTTGCTAATTGATAGTGTTACCATGGTTACAGATTAATTAACGATGTAGTATGATTCTTAGTAGTTATGGCATTACCAATTCTTCAAAAAGCTGCAGAACCATTGGCAATGTGATTATCGGCTTTGACCTGCAGCAACTTCAGACCGACAAGGAAGTGATGACACCATCCACCTTCAGCCATCAACTACACATGCAGCTGGACGGTCCCAACCACTACAGCTGCCACGATTATAGCCTCAGAGGATTGCCGGGACTACACATCATCCAGCCACCATAGAACTATCTACGAGTATGAGCTGAACATACCTTCTTTCTGGATCTACCACTCTGTTCACAATACACTTCACTTGTCTCATACACCATCAACGCCTTCCTGGTTATGGCATCAAGGTTCTTTGACATCCTATGCCGTGATTCCCTCTTGGGTAGATTGGAATATTTATCACCTTTTGGATGCCGTGACCATGTCTTGGATACAGCAGGTTTGTCCTCCTTGGCTTTCTGGTTTTCAAACTTAGAACCTTCAGCAGAAACATCAGAGTCTTGGATAAGAGGGGGGATCTCATCCGAGCTGTTAGCCCCATCATCAGGAAGTCCTGAAGAGGTAGCTCCAGCGGATGATCTAACTTCTGGTCTGGAGCACACACATTCAATCATGCATTCGGGCTTGCCACAGTGGAAGGGGATCGCGGTGTCCTGGTTGGAAACAAGGCTGTCACAGATACAGCCCAGGCGGCAGTACTCCTTGTTACAGGTGTGGGATTCCTGGGACCGTGGTTCCAGGTCCTCCTGATTGTCATTGCACAGGTGACAGATACAACCATACCTGCATCCTGCGATATACAACATGAATTCAGGTTATGTTGTACCGGAGTCTTCAATAACCCTGACATGAGGTTAAAAATATTTATTTCCTCTTGTCCACAAAAACAAACATCTACAGTGTTGCCATCCACCTAACAGTGAACAAGGAAATTTACTAGGCTTAAGTTTGTTTGTTTGTTTGTTTGTTTAACGCCGCACTCAGCAATATTCCAGCTATATGAAGGCGGTCTGTAAATAATCGAGTCTGGACCAGACAATCCAGTGATTGACATCATGAGCATCGATCTACACAATAGAGATATGATGACATGCATCAACCAAGTCAGCGAACCTGACCACCCGATCTTGTTAGTTGCCTCTTACGACAAGCATAGTCGCCTTATACGGCAAGCATGGGTTGCTGAAGACCTATTCTATCCCGGATCTTCACGGGTCACTAGGCATATGTAAATTATAAACTCTGCATAGGAGATATCTTCATAAGTTGGTGAATCAAGAACATAAAATCTGATTCTGAAACATGTTGACATAATGAAGTTAAGTATCAAAGATTATTTTATATGCACGATTGGGCAAGACAGTCACATCTTTAGCTATTTTTGGCAGGATTGGTAAACATGGTTAAAAGATTCAGAAGAATTACATCTGATTTCTTTGTGATCTAATTAATGACACAGCAGAGTGCAGAAATACAAGACATGCATTTTATATTCCAGAATTATACATTTCATATTGCTAGTGACTTTTCTGTCATCTACATATATGCAACATGTTTAGGTCTTTTCCTCCTATGGTGAAAGATTCTAATAGTTGAAAATGTTTACATGAATAATATTTCCTTGAAGATATTTGGGTAGAATGAGGATAGCCAATCTACAAAGGTTTGAGGGATAAATAACAAACAACAACAAGACAGTTTGACCACAAGATACGGTTACATAGTCCTCAACAAACCCCGTTCACATACATAAACTACTGACCTTGACCATGACCTTGACCTTTGAATGATATCAATGAATAATAAGACTCCAAGCACTGCCTACATCAGCCAATTATTGCATGATTGCATTGAAAAAAGGTTTTAACTTAGTCATATTGAACTTGACTGTGACAATGACTTTTCGTGTCAATGAAGTTTAGTCAGAAACATTCTCAAGGATTACATCTGTAAGACAAAGCACAATTTCCAGCTTAATCCATTTCCATATCCTATTATCATACATAGAGGTCACAGTGACCAACCTTTATTAAAATCATGTCAAAAGCAGTACTTCTTTTTGGAATCAGTCTGAAAGTCAACTGATAACCATATTATTGAACTAAATGGCAACTACGATCAGTATAATCTATTGCATGAAAATATCAGAAAAAAGCAACCTGAAAATATTACTCTCACAATATTTTGGGGCAGTCTGAAATTAACTGAAATGCTGTTAACCTGGTGAGAGCAGGCATAGATACATTGTTACTGATAGAGCTTTTCTAGCTTGCAATGACCAACCAGAAACATGCAATTACAGTGAAAAATGTGACTTGACCTAGACCTTTCATGAAGCTGATTTGCAAGGAAAGACACTCACCCAATAGTCCAGTCATGGAATTCTACTGCAAGTTTTTGTGCTTCTGATTCCAAAATCACTACAACCTTTTGAAATTGATTGAAATCTATTGCATACTAACCAGGCTTATGACAGGGTCTTTTAGAATCTCCGCTTCCATCAATGACAATACCATCTTCATCCAGGCTGTCATGATTGTCCAGAGAACCATCTGCTGTTCCATCTCCTTCAACAGAATTCACCCTCTTCACATACTCTGTAGGCACTCCTGACTTCAACATTGGCCGTTTTGGGTCTCTTTGAGCTCTGAACAAGGTGCTGCCTTTGTTAAGCAACTTCCTCCCAGCAAAGGCAGCTGGTTGTACAGTCTTTAGCACCATAGTTTTAGTCATGATATTATCTGTGCATCCTGTTCCTGCTTTGGTTGGTTTGTATATTCCACAGTCTAAAGCACAAGTAGCATCGAGGGCCATTTGTTCTGTGATGACAGCCACAGGAATGTAATCTGACCTTTTGACCTTCATCTTCAATCTGAATTTCTTTTTCATCTCTGGAGACTCTGAGTCTCGCAGGAGAGAGGTCATATCCCGAGGGTCATTCTTCTTCCTCCTGTTTCTAACCCGTCCACCAAGGTTCTTCATTATCTTCATTTCCTCCTCACCCCAACAAAACAATTCTGCAAACTCATTCCTAACCTGTGCTCTCTTGGCATACCCAAAAGGTCTGTCCCTCACACTGGAGTCCATATCAAGGAGACTAACACCTTCCTCACTATGTCCATAACTCCAGTTGATGCTCCTCATCTCCTCGTCGGTATGATCAGAACCATCTTCTCCATAGTCTCCATACAACGGTTCCTCATACTCTTCCATCATCATGTCCCAATTGTCACCAATCTCTTCTGGACTGCCGGATTGTCCATAGATGCTTGTTCGTCCTGCTGGGTACCCAACGTCCTTGGAGGTTCCTTTCCTATGGGTGAACACAATATTCTTCCTCCGTTTCTTCTTAATGCCCAATGCCTTGATGTCATCTGGCTCCAGATTTCTCAAAAGTCTTTCCTCAGTTCTCCAGTGAAGTTTACCAGGATCACCTTCCATGTCAACAAATTTGTTTCTCCATCCTTTGATCTTTGTGATGTCAGATGTTTTCTCTGGATGTCGGAAACCAGCGTAAGGATCTCCTCTTTCTCTTGTCAACTGCAGATTTTCAAACTCTTCTTTCAACATTCTCTTATACTTTTTCCATTTCATGTGTTGTCCTCTAAGGTTAAGTGAGCTTGGAGTCTTAGCTTTACCTTGCTCTGGTGAGTCCCCATCCTGTTTTTCTTTCTCAAAAGACAACAAACGTGAAACACCAAGTAAATGGTTAGCATCCTTGTCCCAATGATTCTTCTTCTCCACAGCAATATGAGCATCCATAAGATCCTTAGATGCAAATGACACAAACAATACTCCCTCAACTTCATCAAAATCTGGTTCAATCTCCTTAACCTCAGAACCAAAATCTACACTTTCTGGAGATGCATTATGCTCCTCTCGATCAAGAGATTGTTCAGACTTTAAGTTCAATTTCTTAACATCCTCTAAATAGTTTTCTAGTTCATCACTAACAAATGCAGATTTTTTATTTACATTGCAGTCTTTCTCAGCTTTAGCTAAAATTTCCAGTGGCAAAGGTTCTTTAGTTCTATACAACTTTCTCCACAGTGGAAACCTTTTGCCTTCAATTGTTTCTTCAGGTTTTGAACCTTTGTTTGAAGTGTCCGGAGGAGTAGGATCACATTGCACAGGGTGTGCTTCACCTTTCGGTTCACATTTGACATAGACGTCTTCCATCACTGATTTCACAGGTGACAGAAGATGCTTTTTCAGGAGACAACCTTCACTTTTATCTAAAATCAGGACATTATCTGTAACCATGTCTTTTACAGTGTCACATGGAGGTTTGACTGGACTGGACAGCACCTGTCTTTGAGACTTACTCGGTGATAATGAATCTGCCACTTTACCTGTTAGTCTGCGATACAACTCACCACATTTAACATCTGGAGGAACAGTGTCATTTTCTACATCACCCTTACTGTCTGACTGTGGTTTAGAATCCACTTCTTTTATTACAGCCTTGGTGGTCTCTGCTTCCATCTGATCCACAAGATGGGAGAGTGTGTCAGAGTTGTGGCTTGTGTTCAAAGAAGACACATCAGAACACTCCTCCTCTTCCATACACTGAGTGGATTCTAGAGGCGCAAACAAAGCAGTCTTTATTCGATTATCAACTTTAGAAATGAGATCAAGCAATCCTTTGCTTCTTATTACTATATCCTCAGGGACAGAATTATCACTTGGCCCCTCTGATGTACTGGTACTGGGTTTGGGAGAACTTGATCTTATGGGAAGACCAGTTGTTGCATTCAGAGAGGCCCCTGAAATAATTGGACTATCATCATCTGATACGGTTTCAGCTATGTTTTTTACTATTTGTTCTTTACACAGTTCTACAAAGTCTAGCTGTCTTATCACCCCAGTCTTGCTTTCACTATCTTTTGCTATGTTTGTCTGCTCAGAAGGCTGACCTTTAAGGGTCAGCATAAACTCATTTGGTGAAGTTTTGGAAGAAACCTTGCCCTTTTTCACAAGGGGCATATACACAACATTATCATCCTGAAGTTTAACACTGGGGGAACGGATCCTTCTTTCCCCTCTTGGTGATGCTGATCCACTCCTCCTCTTGTCAGGAACATCCTTAGCCTTCTTACCAGATCTTGGACTCCTGGCAGGGCTGTTAGAATTCCTTCTTGTTACAGCATCAAGCTTATCAGGACTACTGCCTTTTAAAGAGTTCCTCCTAGGAGACTTTTTCCTAGGTGATAGTCCTGAAGCCTCTGATTTCCTTTTCCTTCCATCAACCTTTTCAGAGACAGACCTTAGCACTTTCATTGCAGAGGAAATTGCAGTGCTTGCAACCTCTTGACCAGCACCTTTCTTGTTTGGGGACATTCTCATTGATCTTGACCCTTTCTCCTTCTTCATCTCATTCTGAAATTGTTCAAAAATGTTCTTTGTTTTTCGATCGCCTTTTGGACTTTTCCTCCTTGGACTTTTTGGCCTCTCATTAGATCTTCTAGGTGACTGATGACTATTGGACCTTCTGATGGTGTGAGGCGGTGTTTCTTTAATCGCTTCTCCTTCGTTACCTTCTGCAGGATCAGGACCTTTGTATATATCCTTAATGCACACAAGAGCTACTGGCAGGGTCTCTGACTTTGGAAGGGTGATAACTGCTTCATGAATGCTGGGAAACACAGTCACAGATTCCACATCAGGAGTTGATGATGAAGATGGCTGATCGTTGTCTCGGTACAACTCAACCTCTTCCGGGGCTAGAGTGCCTGCAAGGGACAATAATCCACATTTCAAAACTATCAAATTCACAATATGCTCAGCAGTGTTAAGTATGAGTGAGTGAGTGAGTGAGTGAGTGAGTTTGGTTTAACGCCGCTTTTAACAGTATTCCAGTTATATCGCGGCGTGTCAGCTTAATGTGGGAGGAAAACCCGAAGTGATGCAGGTCCCAGACGTTTACCACTTCGGTGAAACCCACGAGCACAGGTATGGTGCTGACAAACCTAGAAACATAATGTTAAGTATGAAAGGGGGTCAAATGGTCCTTGGGAGGTTTGGGGATATAGCATATTAATCGATGGACTTCACAAGTCCTTACTTAAGAAATAACCGAGTGGGAGTTGTTTATCGTACATTAAAACACTGCAGGGAGAATAAACCATGAGGGGTGCACCCCAATCGTTGTTTATGTCTAATTTGAGATATTAACATCTTGTACAGCCTCTTCAAGGATGTTAATAAAATATATACGCCTTAAAAACATGTAGACATATTCCAATAATGACTCATTGAATACAATCAGATCTGGGAGATGTCGGACAAGTCCATTTTAGGAACAGAGGGGTTACCTTTGGTGTCTCCCAGATATTGTCACAATTTTCATGTCGATTATCTGTACCCTGTCTCCCAATACCAACTGTCATATCTCTCCCACTTTTTAAATGCGATTGTTTGGCCATTGCGTTTATCTGCATTGCCCAGCTATATCTTTGGGGAATATCTTACTAGGGATAAAATAATGTTGTTCTATTTACGTCATCAAATTATGAGCGCATGTTCAAATCTCCAGAAATGACGTCATGATAAAACAATGTTTCATCGTGAAATAAATCACGCTTCGTTCTTTATTGTTCTCTGCGATTCATCTCGTAACTATGTTATATATGACATGTTGAATTGTAATGATTAACAGAGATAAAGTACTCCTAACAAATGTGACAATTATTTTCCTACATCTATCACATATATAAATTAATCTTAATTTAAATGTTACTTGTAATCATAACTTCAGAAATTTAAAAGCTGATCAGTAAAAATTATGGTTCAAACATTCTTATTATGGTGATACTTACAAGGGGGGAATGATTTTCTTGCAGTTAAGAAAGACTTTTTCGCATTTCCTTTTGAAGGAGATCGTATACTCTTTCTGGCTTTCAGTTTAGGATACACAGGGGGATACAGGCCAGATTTCCTTGCATACAATTTGTGGATGGGAAATGCCTCTTGGTGTGGATTCAACTGAATAGACCTTCCGACATCTTCAGGAGAAATCTGGACAAGATGAGCATTGGGTATGTCTAGGGAGGGATTCGGCTGTGCTTCTGTCTCTTTTCTTGTCAGTGATTGAAGCAGTTCTTGTGCCTCTGCTTTCTTCAAAGCATTGGTAGACTTTCTGGCAGTGAGCTTGGCCTTCTTCATGTTCACTGGACCTGAGACGGGTGTTGGTATGTAATTGTCCTCCTTTTCAGCATCCAGATTCACAGTCACAATTTGATCCAGATACTCTTCTTTCTTATTTTTCTTATCCACAGCTTTTGAACTGTCCGCCTGAACATCCTCAGACACCTTGGTCTTTCTCTGAGGTGCCAGAATGATCTTCTTGTACAAGCTTCCATCAGAGTTAACTTTCCCATCGTCAGCTTCCTTGACACCCAACGGTTCCAGCAAAGGTTTCAGTTTTCTTGGACTGGGTGTCTTTATTGGCCTCCCAGGAGGCCTAACCTGAGGATCAACATGCTTTGTTACTCCTGTACTCGATGAGGAGGCAGTTGATGTCTCTGGTTTCACAGGCCTTCCTTTCCTGGCAGGGTTCTGGCCTGCTTGTTCTGCCTGTCTTGCTGCTCTCTGCTCGGCCTCCAGAAGAAGCTGCTGTTTTCTGGCTGTTGCTTGTAGAACTTGTTTTTTAGTTCTAGCCATATCATGGAAAATCTGAATAAAGATAAAAAACAACATATGACAATATAATAGACTAAAATGAACGAACTAAACATGATGCAAGAGCAAATGTTTTAACAGACTGTGGGAGTAAGTATGTTTTTGGTTTTTGGTTTCATTTTGCATTATTCCAGCCACAACACGGCAAAGGAACACCAAGACTTTACCTCTTACATTCAACCTGGGTCTTCAAGGTGGTGAGGTGAGGTAAAAGGGGGTTTAACGTCGCGTCCAAGATTATTGCACTTACTTAGCGGCGTCTGGGTCTTCAAGATGGGGAGTCAATGCTTTCACTACTAACCTATCTCACAGGCCTAGATAGTGATTGTGGAATAACCTCAGCCTGGTTAGTGTAAATGATGTTGGAACAGGCAAACCAGTTGCTGAATCTAATCTGATTTTTAATTCTGTGATGCATATTAAGGCCGACCTCAAGATCTTCAATTCGTAATTGAGTCACCAATCAACAGCTTTTTATATGTGAGTGAGTGAGTGAGTGAATGAGTATGGTTTTACGCCGCTTTTAGCAATATTCCAGCAATATCATGGAGGGGGAGACCAGAAATGGGCTTCACACATTGTACCCATGTCGGGAATCGAACCCGGGTCTTCGGCGTGACGAGTGAAAACTTTAACCACTTGGCTACGCCCCTTATATGTGAGTGAGTGAATCTGATTTTATGCTCCTTTAAGCAATATTCCAGCAATATTCCAGCCATATCAGGGTGGGGGGAGACCTGAAAGGGGCTTCAGAAGTTGTACCCATGTTGGGAATTGTACACATGGGCCTCTGGTGTGAACACTCTAACCACTTTGTTAGCTTGTTTGTTTTTTGTTTAACGCCACACTCAGCAATATTCCAACTATATGATGTCGGTCTGTAAATAATCAAGTCTGGATCTGACACTCCAGTGATTGATATCATGAACAATCGATCTAATGACATGCATCTGACAAGGCAGCAGGTCTGACCACCCGATCCCGTTAGTCGACTCTTACGACAAGCATGGTTGCATTTTACGGCAAGCAAAGGTTGCTGAAGACCTATTCTACCCCGGATCTTCACAGGTGTTTCAGTATGTGCTGCAATGTGTGCCTCAATCATTTTCAAACATCTATGTTATGTTAAAGGCTTACATGTCACAAGTTGGTCATAGTATTTTCTCAGCACAACATATTGATCTGTATCCCCATCATGCTCATAGAGACAAATTACATGGCTATGAAACCATCCTGACAGTATAAGCTTGAGCTTTCATCAAAGCAGAATCCAAATTAAATATTATTCACCAATTTAATCCTTTCAACAAATACCATCAAATACAAAACAGAAAGCTGTTCTTGATGTTCCGCAATAAGATATCACTGAGCAGAAGGTTCCAAATGAATGACATTTGTTTCTAATCACACTAACAGGAATGAGAATCAATATATTTCAATGTAAACGATATGAAACACAGGACATACTACAACTTAATCAAGCCCTTAGAATATGCCGACATCATAGGAATTGGTGGAATAGTTTATTTAATACTGAATCAATCCGTGTTCGAAATGGGCACCTGTCCGTAGGCCTGTAGCAGGTAGATCTCGTGTTGTGCCCATAGTTTCAGAAATGTATAGGGCCTTAAAGGGGAAGTGTACACGCAAAAATCACTTTCTTTCTTTTTCTAAACAAAACGCAATTTTAGAATTAATTAGTATCTGTGTTTGAAAATATACACTAATTTTTTTTCACAGTGAAAGTAGGAAGCTCACAATAGTGTTAAAATGATATGCCGTTATGAGGCCTTTGTTTACGAGCGAAATAGGCCTGAGTTATCCCCCTTAGATTATGACGTAATTGGTGCCAATTCAACTGGGTCCCTGTCTATTCTCAACGCAAAAGATATCAAGGACCAGTTTGCGGTAAAACAACATGGTCTACGACACACTCCGGCGCAGTAGTGACTCAGCATAACACAATTCTGGCTGGCATTTTAGACGCTAGAATCACAAAACTGTACCTACACCACGTGAAGCGGCTCTAACAAAGCATGATGACGTCATAATGTTTATCAATTGGCACCAATGACGTCATATTGCAAGGGGCATAAGCCATGGTGTTTTTGTTATGGAAATAGAACACTTGGTAAATGTGAAAAATATAGATCGTTTTAATGCAAAAAATATGTTAATTAAATATGATGTTTTTATATTTTTGTCTATGACACTTCTATGTTAACACTTTTAATGTGGAAAAAGTACAAGAAAAATTGGTTCATTTCCGTGTGAACTTGCCCTTTAAAGCCCCACCCTGACTATAAATAGCCCGCAAGGTGGCGGTGTTTCAGTTTCAAACAATGACTGACAATGTAAACACAACCGAGTGTCAGGAGAAGTTTTTTGAAAACCAAAGATGTACTCGTGTGGGTGGGTGTTTACACGACGTCACCCGTTTTCGCATTAACCAATGAAATGTATGTGTTATCATGACGTCATATTGACCTGTCAGATAACTTGGATAAGCTCCGCCCACTAGAGTGCGGTAGTTACTACTTCAGATGGGGCTTTAACTGGTTATGGCCTGCAGTCACACGTCACATTATTTGTCACAATAAGCAGCAGTTTTTTTTAAATGAGGACCTGAAGAGTTCAGTCCGGGCCTGCGGCTTCTAAAGTCAGTGGGTGCTGATGGCAGCCAGGCAATATATTTTGTTTCAAACACTGAAATGAATATGATTTTGATTGATTGATTGATTGGTTTGTTGTTTTACGCCGTACTCAGCAATATTCCAACTATATGACGGCGGTCTGTAAATAATCGAGTCTGGACCAGACAATCCGGTTATCGACATCATGAGAATCGATCCAAGAAATTGGTTGGTTGGTTGGTTGGTTGGTTTGTAAACGCCACACTCAGCAATATTCCAGCTATATGAGGGTGGTCTGTAAACAATTGAGTCTGGACCAGACAATCCAGTGATTGATATCATGAGCATCGATCCACGCAATTGGGACCGATGACATGCATCAACCAAGTCAGCGAGCCTGACCACCCGATCCCGTTAGTCGCCTTTTACGACAAGCATAGTCGCCTTTTACGACAGGCATGGGTTGCTGAAGACCTATTCTAGCCCAGATATTCACGGGTCGAAATGAATATGACATTGTGTCTGAGATGCATGTTATACTTACATCAGTTACAATGATTTAACTTGGTAGGAAAAGCAGTAGTTTTGTTGCTGCTCCCTGTACACATTCACACACTGCCATTGTCAATAATCTGTAACAAAAATAGTGAGATCAGCTCCTCTATGCTTGTCTCGTTCTAATTTAATGTTGGTAACTACTCAGAGCCAGTGGGAGGTTAACTTTTTATATTGACAGTATGTTTGTTTAATATATGTTGAACGTCACAGAGTAAGTGAGTTGGGTTCAACGCCGCTTTTAACAGTATTCCAGTTATATCACGGCATGTCAGCTTAATGTGGGAAGAAAGTCTGAAGTCTCAGGTCTCAGACGTTTATGTTCGATGAAACCCATGAGCACGGGTATGGTGCTGACAAATCAAGAAACATAATTGGGGCGAACCAGGATTCGAACCCACAATCGTAGGTTTCTGGCATGCCCAAGGGACACAACTCTGCAAAGCGAATTGCGGCGCCTTAGACGACTGGGCCACCCGTGCCCCCAATACATCACAGAAAGTAGTTGAATAAGTCATATGGAAAATTATCTTGAATGACATTCTGCACAGGCATTCACACTAAAGATGTCTTTGCTTACTAGTCAGTATGTTCAGATGTTATTTAATGTCAGACATAGATTAAAGTTATCGCATACTAGAACTCAATTTAGCTATATAAGACATGCACATGCGCAACCTATTCTTGAAACGTGCAACCTAATATATATGTCAACATGCTCCATGTGAATGTCAAAATATTTCATTTATGTCAGATTAAACTTTCCTATAAACTTGTTCAGACAAAAAAAAATATCATTGAACACACTCAATAACTCTAAAGTATATTTATCACTAAGCCCTGTGTTACATGTGATTTGTCATGCTTTCTTAGGCTTGACCTATCAAACTGTGGGTACTTCAAGATTATGTGCACATGTTCCTATTACGTTTTGCAGCAATGCGTCATCAGTTTGTGTGACACTGGCAGCAGACTGGCCTATGTTTCAACTTTGATAAATTCATGGGACCTGGTTTTGTTTGGTGCAAATTGGTTTACATGTACCTGGTGCAAGTTAAAAATTATTTCCTTAAAAGGAGTCCTGCATACCTATTGAAAAGTGCTCAGGCCTTCACTGTAACCTTGACAACACAATGTCCAGCACCAACCTAAGGAAGACATAAACAATTTCAGCTGTCAACCTAATCATTTGTTCCCATCAATTGAATTTACAAATACAGATGTCGTTATGACCTTGACATCTTCCTGAGGCAAGGGAGACAACTGACTACAAAAGTCCAGTTTCAACATTTGCCGATCTTGGCTGGAATTTTAAGGAACGATCATAGTGCCACCGGTGGCTATTACAAATTATGTCCTTTCCATGTCCCTTCCATTGACCAATCAGATTTCAACTCTCATATCACTTGCATTTGCTTCAATAAAATGGCGGCCCCCAGTCAAGACGAACTGATAGATAATAAAAATATATATTGTAATAAAATGGGTCTTACTTTGAGAAGTGTATCAAATCATGTGTGCACTAAAAAAGATTTGGAAAATATCTGTCGACGTCAAATCCTGCAATTGACCAAAATCTGCATGGCAGTTTACGACCCAGGTGTCGATTTCATTGTGATTTTGAAATCACCCAATACATCTTGCATTTAAAAAATGATATTGTGATATGTACTGTAGAAAGAATGAACTTCATATACTGACGTACCCTTAATACTGCGTCCCCTTAGTAAATATTTTTGATTCATTAAAGCATGACTAGCCAAAAACTAGGGGGAACTAGTAAACAATAAAGTTTCCACTAGTCCCTGGTATTCAGTCAGTCACAAAGTACTCAACTTTTGATAAGGGATACGGAGATACTTCATACTACTACTACTACTACTACTACTACTACTACTACTACTACTACTACTACTACTACTACACTACATGTACTACACTCATGTTATGAAACCTGTGAAAATCTGGGTTAGATTTGGTCTTCAGCAACCCATGAATGCTGTGAGAGGCAACTATGCTTGTTGTAAGAGGCGACTATGCTTGTTGTAAGAGGCCACTATGCTTGTTGTAAGAGGCCACTATGCTTGTTGTAAGAGGCCACTATGCTTGTTGTAAGAGGCCACTATGCTTGTTGTAAGAGGCGACCAAAGGGATGGGTAGTCAGACTCACTGACTTGGTTGATGCATGTCATTGTATCCCAATTGAGTAGATTGACGCTTATGACGTCAATCACTGGATTGTCTGGTCCAGACTCGATTATTTACAGACTGTTGTCATAAAACTGGAATATTGCTGACTGCAGCATTACACAACAATAAACAAAACTAACAAAAACATATTATGAGTAATGACATAATAAGTTGGATGAATAATAAAATACTAAAACACATCCCTGTACAAATTGTGTGTAATATATGTCACTATGACATTGAAGGAAACAGGCCCCGAGAAGTTAGTGATTACCCATCAGTCAGTAAACACAGCCAGGTAATCAGATCATGTTGAATGCAAGAGATTTCATTACAGTGTTAGAAACTAACCGTTATAGTCCACTTGTCCTTATAATGATAACATATAGCAAAACCCTTAAAAATGGCAAATTTCTACTGGTCCTTATGATACCTTAACTATTAGTCAGATTGGCAAGGACTATAGGACTAGTGCCAATTTCTAACGCGATTCAAATTATGCTGAATAAAAAGGTAAGGGATGATTATTATGTTGGTGGATATTCTACTGCTGTGAAAACTGAGCACACAATTTACTATAAATATCCCCAAAATATTCTTCTTCCATAACTATTATCAGATTATCCATAAAACATCTTGGTACACTGACACAATCTTACAAATGCCTTTACATGTTTTATGCACTGACAACGCTTTGTAAGGTGTGTGACCTTGACCTGTGGGAACAGGAACCTGTGTGTGATGCAACCGCATCAGAGCAATCATAGAACTTTGATTGTCATATGTGTGCATTGAAGCATGGCTGTCTTAATATAGGATTTATGTCAATTGAAGAATGAGGCCTGTGATTGCAATACTTGTCCTTAAATCAGACAATGTCTCTGTTTTGAAATAACCTCAGTGGTGACCTTGACTCATCTTGACCAGAACGTATCAAAAGCAGGTTTAGGGAATAAATATATAAATTTTTCTTTTCAATAGAAATAATCCCATTGTAACAACAAAGTTTAAGTGACCCTGAACTTTCACTTTCTTATAATAAGTGCATTACGTGTGACAAAAGGATACCCCAGGACTTCTCCATAAGATACCATAGCTACACATAACCAGTCAGCTCCAAGAGAAAAACATAAATGGATTTCAAATTTGCGCAAAATCGATAAGCGATTTTCATTCCAGAGGCTGCTATTTTCATCAACGATCATGTTATAACATAGTATGGACTGATCTGGTTAATCATGCTCATCAATGATTGGTTGGTTTGGAAAAAGGTTGATTAATTTCATTTAAGTTCATACTCATGAAATTGTTGAGAATAATAATGGTAAGAATAGAAAAGCATTAGCAATGAATGATTCAAGATGTGTTGCAGCGTATAGTTCAACATCTAAAAATATTCTGTATTTCCATTAAAAAGGTCACTATGTTTTTCACTTATTCACGAAAATAATCAATAAACCATTTTTCATCAGTTAAGACTAAGACTACTTTCTGAGAAGGTTTTGTTTGTTTGTTGTTTAACGCCGCACTCAGCAATATTCCAGCTATATGACGGTGGTCTGTAAATAATAGAATCTTTACAAGACAATCCAGTGATTGATATCATGAGCATCGATCCACGCAATTGGGATACAATGACATGCATACACCAAGCCAACGAGCCCCACCACCTGATCCTATTAGTCGCCTCTTACGACAAGCATAGTCACCTTTTACCGCAAGCATGGGTTGCTGAAGACCTATTCTACCCCGGATTCCAGTAACTGACAATCATATAACCGTTTTACAAAATACTAACCTTTGACTTATTTTTGACCTTGACCTTTGACTTTTTTTCACCTAAACCTATCTAAGCAGGGTATATACCATGTTGAAAGAAACACGCATTAATATTTTGTGAGAAGGTGTAACCATAAACTTTGAGGGAGTGCTTTCTATTTCATGACCTTGACCTCTGACCTTACTGCATGTGCTGAAAGAATTCCACAGGTCCATCTGGAGTAAGACTATTGTAGGAAAGACTCTAATGTCAATAATATTTGTGCTATATTCATGAGAAAATATGATACTATCCTGCTGAAAATGTCCTCAAAGGTGACCTTGACCTTAGAATTAACTTTAACTGATGCTTGATGAAGACCAATTCTAACCCTGACACATGGACACCCACTGGTCATTGCCTGGGGGTGACTTCGCATGATTCCACCATGAGGGTTTAACGAGTGAGTGAGTGAGTGAGTGAGTGAGTGAGTGAGTGAGTGAGTGAGTAAGTGAGTGAGTGAGTGAGTGAGTGAGTGAGTGAGTCTTATGTCAAGATAAATCCATGAAGTTGTTGAACAGTTTTGTTTAACATTTAAATCTGTTTTTATTCAAAAAATGTTTTACCAATATAACTTCCAATGTAATGTGTCGTACGTATCGCGATGCAGGGGTGTAAATCAATGTATTGTATCATTGGTCTCATATCGGGATACAATACTGTATCGCCATATCATTACACTACTACATGAATTATGTACAGACCAGGTATCTATGAAATGTCTTATACTTGGGACAAACCATGAATAACACATTACTGCGACAACGCAACATACTTACATCACTTTTCAAGGACTGTTTTGCTTTGTCGTACAGATCATGTTTCAAGGAGACACATCTTGCATTTGGAACCTGAAAATAAAATAGGACTAATGAAACAAACCAGAATTAGTTATCCAAATTTGGAAAAAGAAAATAATTAGAATATGTGATGTTATTATTGAAGATTTTGGATGAGGTTCGGGAAATAATGCCAAAATACATGGACCAAAGTCCAAAAGAGATGCAGAAACATATCTAGCCTAAGAGTCTGTCACCATCAAATATTGATAGTTGTGCTTCAAACACAACTGTGTTGCTTTTTTAGGCCAGTCAGCAAAATCCAGCTATATGAATGCGTACTGCCAATGATCAAACCTGGGCTATAACAATCAGTTGTTCAGAGCTCCAGATAAGCTGTGTATCTGCGTAAAATACGCATCAGAAATGCAGAAATACGCAGTAAAATAATATCCAAGCGTATCAAATACGCAACGAACATTACAGATACAAAAATAAAGCTTGTGTGTATCATCAAAATGTTGTGAAGTAACCCTGCGTATTCGATTGGCAAATCAGCAATTTATTTTGAAATTATATACCGGCATTCCGCCAACCTTGCCAAACTCCAAGATGATCATTTGCCATCACACTTTCTTGTGGAAGTATCGTGGTATTTTTGAGTCCTATAAAGCTCTCGAACCCACACAACACCAGTTTGCAGGGACTAGATGAATAGTGTTTTTAAATATTTAACTTAAATACCCACATGTGTAAAAACTAGTGGGTAACAGAAATGTGAATACCCAGATAGAATTACTGATACCCAGTGATTTTAAAATGCATGGGTAAAATACCCACAACACCAAAAGCTTATCTGGAGCTCTGGTTGTATCCACCTGGGTTCCATCAAGGTACAATGTTTGTTTGTTTGTCTATCTGTTGATTAGCGCTGCACTTGGAAATTGACAGCTACATGACAGCAGTCTGTAAATAATTGAGTCTGGATAGGCAATCCAGTGATAGACATCATGAGCATCGATCTACGCAATTTGGATACAATGACATGCATCAGCCAAGTCAGTGAGCCTGACCACACGATCCCGTTAATCACCTCTTACGACAAGCATTGTCGCCTTTTTTGGCAAGCATGGTTTGCTGAAGACCTTTCTAACCCATATCTTCACAAGTCCAGGGTATGATGACTCACACTCATCCAAGAGACCCTAAACACTTTAACCTCTATGCTATGAGTATGTGAGTGAGTCAGGTTTAACACGGCTTTCAACAGTATTCCAGTCAGATCACGGTGTGTTAGGTTAATGTGGGAGACGTTTACCACTCTGGAAAAACCCATGAGCAAGGGTATGGTGCTAAGAAACCTTGAAATATAATCGGGGCAAATTGAGATTCAAACCCACCATCATGCCAGGGGAAGCAACTCTGCACATGGAATTGCGGTGCCTTACATGACTGGGCCACTTGTGTCCCCTGATGTGAGTGAGTGAGTGAGAGTGTTTTCAACCAGGATGTCAATCCAGGAAGAGGCACAATACCATAACTAGTACACACAAAGTTTTACTTATTTCCTTGTTTTCATGTATCACAACAGCAAAGTTACAGCATAGATTTAATTCTCATAAAACAGACACGACAAATGTGTTATCATCATAGTTATTTCCTCTTCACCATGAGGTGAGGTGAAATGGGGTTTAACGTCGCGTCCAAGATTATTGCACTTATATAGCGATGTGCTTGCACGTGTGTGTTTGTGTGTGTGTGTGTGTGTGTGTGTGTGTGTGTCTGTGTCTGGCTGCTTGTACTAGTCCGGGCTGATGCCGATTTATAGTGCTAGCACACTGAGATACCATGCCGCAGTTTAACATGAATACCCCACTCAGACACAGTATACTGACTCCCAGCCGACCAGTCCTTGTTTTAGCCCCTTAATGCCGAGCGCCAGACAGGGTAACAACAAGTACCATCTTTTAACGTCTTTTGGTATGACGCGGCTGGGGATCGAACCCCGGACCTTCCGCTCTCCGGGCGGACACTCTACCATTAGACCACGGAGGCGGTCTCTCTTCACCATGAAAAAAACAATTGTTTGCAGTTCTAATTATCAAACAAAAGTTATTTTGTTCTTAATATATTTAAACTGGATTTCCCTTCAGAAACTCAGTAAAGAGACACTAAAATCAGAATGTGGTCAAAACAGATTAAGCAAAGAACAAACTAAAGTATGTTGAATTAAATAACAAACACAGCTTGTGTCAGCGTTATATTTTCCAAAGGTTGCTTTATTCTAAAAATAGATTTGTTTTTAAACTTGTGTTCGTGTTATCAGGTTAATAACTAAATACATTTTTTAATAGAAATATTTTGGCTGTGCTGAAAGGTAAATGTTTGGAATTTATAAATGCAAACATTTCCAAGGTATTCTTCAATCAGCACTTGATGGCAAAAGGTAAATGCAGAAAAGAGCAGTACTTTTCTTTGATTGCGCAGCTATGACCATTGAGTAGCTTACTGTAGCCGTATGTGAAGAAAACACTGATGATGAATACAGCAATATGATAACTGGTGGCAATACAGCAACACAGTATCTTTTGTCACATGTTGCTAGGCAACCCTGCTGCTGCTCCTTGTTGACACATTGTATTCAGGATATATAAGTGTTACAAACCAGGTTTAGACAACACTGGTCTTGCGGTTCCAGTCAAGTAAATTATTTCGGGGACAGTTGGAGTTAATCAATTTGTGGTCAAGTGTTACTTTTGGAGTCCTATCTTTTCTGATTGGAAAGAAAAATTTTGCACAAACATTTAACACCAACAGCAACCTTAACTGTCCTATCTTACAGCATTAGTCCTATAGTCCTTGCCAAAATGCCCAACAGTTAAGGTAACGTAAGGACCAGAAGAAACTCGCCATTATTATAAGGGTTTAGCTCAATGTTATCAGGACTAGTGTACTAATAGATAGTTTCTATCACTGTATTCTGTCTGCACCAGATGTCAAACAGGACCAAATGCGACGTTAAACCCCATTTCACCTCGGCGCACCTCACCTCCAACACTACCAGTAGAATTTTGTAAGTCCTTGCCACCACATTTTTTGTCAGTGGTGGGCATTATTAACATCTCTAACTTAGTCACACGATACTGTAAGCCTGAGAATCGAAAACAAATGGATCATGACATGGGTTGTTGTTCATGCAATCAACCACTGGTTTGTTTCCTCTTCACAAGCTATGACATATAGCACTATAACATTTCAAAAATGCTATGTTTAACCTTGAACATGGGCAGAAATATTCTATTTCATTAGAATTGATGCCACAGTACTGACCTCTACCTAAAGGTTCAAAGAGGGAGCCCACCACAAAATGTGGTCCTTTTAGTAGTTGCAGACTAGTTGACATGTTTAATAGATATAGTGAGTGAGTGAGTGAGTTGGATTGTACGCCGCTTTTAGCAATATTCCAGCAACATCCGGGTGGGGGGACACCAGAAATCGGCTTCACACATTATACCCATGAGAGAATAGAACCCGGGCCTTCAGTGTGACGAGCGAACGCTTTAACCACTAGACTACCCTGCCGCCCCTTAATAGATATATCCAAGTGATAGAGCTGCTATAGTGTAGATCTGCAAGTACATATACCTATATTCTAATCACACCCTAAGCCTGCTCTCTAGTCATAACACGCATATATACATATGATATATGTGACCTTCATTAGCAAGGCTGAATCAAATCAGCCATTAAACAATCGGTATCCTTAGTCTCCTTCACAGACCCCAGAGCCAATATTGAATCAAAATTCACCTCGTCCCCTTCCTGGCCATTTTTCAGCTTGTTTTGGACTTGTCTCTTTAAGTTAGGGGCAACTATTGGTTCTATTTTCCCTATTGAGATTGTATTGCAATATTACCCCAGACTATTGCAACAGCCATATAATTGTCAACTATTGCAAAATTATAGCAAAGGTATCAAACCAACTTGATAATTACAGTAATAATATGTAATTGAAATGAATAAAGTATTGCCAATGCAGCAATAAAAAAATAACAGTTTTTTAATCCACTAGTCCTTATGATAATAACATATAGCAAAACCCTTGAAAAAGGTAAATTTCTACTGATCCTCAGGATACCTTAACTATTGGGCAGTTTGGCAATGACTATAGGATGAGTGCCAATTTCTAATACTGCCAATGTCAAAGTCAGCCATTTTCCTCCCCGTCGCTACTCAAAACAATGGGAAGTAGCTCTAATCGAAGTTGTTGGAATCTTTGGTACCAACAGATGGCAGATTTTCAACTCCCTGTGATATATACAAGCCATGCTACTTGAAAGCTGGTTGGTCCTGTATTGCCATTTCATCCCACCTGGTACCCATTTGGCTGCTGGAGCTTGTGCTTGGGATGTTATAGTTTTGGGAATTGTTTCGGAATTCATTATTGATCACTGATATAGTTAGTTTGTTGCAATCATAAAATAAAAAAATAACCCAGTTCTCCCTGTACTGCATTTGAAAAACCCTGTTTTCACAATGATCTGAAATGTTACGAATACAAAAACGTAATTTTTACTTAATGAATAACCCTATCTTTTCATAAAAACTTTGTGCTGTTTTTAGACTGTCGACAGTCAACTTCAACCAAGACGCTTGAACCTGGCAGGTTACACACAAACTGTTTCTTTGTTCATTGTATAATGCCACACTCAGCAATATACCAGCTACATGATGGCAGTCTGTAAATAATCGAGTCTGGACCAAACAATCCAGTGATTGACATCATGAGTATTGATCTACACTATTGGGATATTGCATCAAACAAGTCAGCGAGTCTGACCACCCAAATCTGTTTGACATGTCTTTCGACAAGCAAAGACACCTCTCACGACAAGCATGGGTTGCTGAAGACCAATTCTAAACCCGAGCGTCACTGGTCAGCAGGTATATGTTATCGTCAGGGACATGTAGACGTTGTTATGGGAAATATGTTCAGAAGTCTTAAAGAAGAGTTTTTATATTCAGTACTAACGGACGGACAACAATCCATGACATGTGATGCATTTTTTTTATATTTGCAAGATTAGATCATAACAGTTGTAATAAACATGATAAAGGGGAAACCAAAACATAACTGATGAAAGAAGTGTTAATATAACAAAACAGCATTGATATTTCATAATACAAGTTATTGCAGTGTCAAAAGTTATAATAATTTATTATATCATCAGTAATTGACATATTTTCTGCATATTTCTTGAAACAAGCCAAAATGACTGTGTAATCCGTAAGCATGTTTAACACTGGATTGAGTGAGTGAGTGAGTATGGTTTTACGCCGCTTTTAGCAATATTCCAGAAATATCGCGGTGGGGGACACCGGAAATGGGCTTCACACATTGTACCCATGTTGGGAATCGAACCCAGGTCTTCGGCGTGACGAGCAAACGCTTTCACTAGGCTACCCGACCGCCCCTAAACACTGGATTGAAATTATGTGAAATTGTTTCAAGAGATGCCACTGAGCAGTGAGGATCATACCCACAAACTGACAGCTTCATTAACCCATGTATTTGTCAAATTGTCTAAAATACAGTGAATGTAGATAAACTTTAACAAGTCAATGTCAGTAGCAGACTCAAAAGTCAAAATAGGCCCCAAAATGTATGTTTTATTCCACATACCACAAATCTATTTTTAAATCATGATACATGCGAAAACGTAATCGACAAACATAACATTCATCATGCACAGTGACCAAGTTAAAAACTGAATCAGAATGTATAGAAACACCATGATAGAACCTGTAAAAGTTTCAGCATAATCAATGAATAGGCGGTATGGTTTTAGGGAAGATGTTTACTATAAAGCTTTAAGGCGGATGGATTGACAAATGACAGACAGATCCCAAAACATAAGCTCACCTTAAGATTTAGAACAGCGTGGAAATAAATAAACTATAGGCTCCATCATTATCCACTGAAATTTTCTAAAAAATTTGCCTTTCCTGCTTTCAAAAAAATTAACAATATGGAAAATAAGAACATGATCAGTTACTTTTGTCCTTGAGTATATACACCAGTGCTCTTTGTCTTAGCTAAGAGACCATCCACTTGCCTGGTAGAAGGAGTATGTTTTGGACTTGTGAATAAGGTAAACACCACTAAATTGTGGATGAAAAGAACATGTCTATCCCTGCAAAAGTGACATAAATTCACACTCACTACATTTGCAGAAATTTCATCAGATGCTAAATATTTGGGTGGGTGTGAAAATTTCGAACAGGTAAACATGTTACATTTATAGGTGGTTGATGTGGATCATGCATAATGCTTGTGATGTACTGTAATTCATAAAAAAATTATTTAATCATATGTCAGTCAAATGACCTGTGAAGATCTGGGGCAAATAGTTCTTCACCAACCCATGCTTGCTGTAAAAGGCGACTATGCTTGTCGCAAGAGGCGACTATTGGGATCGGGTGGTCAGGCTCACTAACTTGGTTGATGCATGTCATAGTATCCCAATTGTGTGGATCGATGCTCATGATGTCAGTCACTGGATTTGTCTGGTTGAGACATATTTATTTACAGACTGCCGTCATATAGCTGGATATTGCCGAGTGCGGCGTTAAACAACAAACAATGTCAAACATTCTTGAGTTTGTTAGCCTAAACATGGCTCTAAGCATCATTTTCAGTGGAATTTAGTGTTATCATACTGAATATTACTAGCTGAGCTCACTTGACCAGAGAGAATTTTACTAGACTCGGGCTTTGGACCAGTGACTAAAGTCGTAGACTGTAATAACCCATGTAATAGACGATTAACAATGATACAGAATGATTGACTTATACTTAGACCCGAAACTGTTATGACAAACTGCAGACTAAAAATTTGAAATATCTCAATATAATATTGTATCCCCATGCTGTTACCCCTACCCTACTGTTTGTACCTCATATCACACTGCCACTACACTACAGTGAGTGAGTGAGTATGGTTTTACGCCGCTTTTAGCAATATTCCAGCAATGTCACGGTGGGGACACCAGAAATGGGCTTCACACATTGTACCCATGTCGGGAATTGAACCCGGGTCTTCTGCGTGACGAGCGAACGCTTTAACCACTAAACTACCCAACCGCCCCCAACTACACTACAAATGAAATCACCCAGCACAACCTTGAATACTACATTACATTATCCAACACAGCTGAATAAACTGTAAAAGAAAATTCACTCACTCACTCTCACACCATGCCTATATTATAACAATATTCATCCCATCTACAGTAATAGTATTCATGATCGCTGACATCATAATAACTAAAAGCAGAAAGTCAGAGATTGGTGTTCATACTGTCAAGAAAATGAATAAGTCATGATTTAGAAGAAGAGCAAAGCTTCCTGATTAAAATGCTGGATGCCTTACCTAGAGTCATTTATGTTCAGTCAATGCCTGATGGAGGATATATATAGGATGAGAAAACTGCAATCATGTTAAGAAATCTGTTAGCCTTGACCATGACACAAGCTACAGTAAGCCAGGAATACAGGGAAATAAGCATCAACAACGTCGTTCTATTATTGCTGTGGATTCGCTAATCATGTAATTTTCCTTTGCAAATGATTATATATTGTAAGAACATACAATCTAGATTGGTAAATCTTATAATAACATTCGTCAAAATATGCAAGTTACTTAAATAACGAAGGTTTGTTCAGACGCCATGCAAGTTTGTCGTCAGCATACGGACGCACCCCTCCTCTCGTGTCGTCAGGCATGCAGCACTAGCCCTCATAAAACGACCTCCCCCCTTCTCTAGCGTTTCAGATTTTTACATACACTGAATTGTTATACATTTAGAATATCAAATGATTATGTATGTACATCCATTTATCCCTTCAAACCAAACAGTTGGATGTATTCAAAGAAGGAAGTACTTTACCGATAACACCTTTTACGCGGGAATGGGATCATCATTCAACACACACGGCGATAGCAACGTGTTTACATGCAGTTAAGTGCTGTATGCGATGCCTACAAGTGTATCTGTCTATCTGAAATGATGCCATAGGTGTTCATAAAAGTTTGTGCGACATGTTACGAAACACGAGTTCATCTCATTCAAGATATGCGCATTACAGCTATACCAAACGCGCTGTGAGTATCACACGAACATGCATTTCTGAAGCCCGAGTAACACTCGCCCCGCTATCAACGCCTGTCCTTATAAACAACACCACGACTATTTCAGATACCTCGCATATGGCGAGTAGACACATTCTACGATATATCAGTGAAATCTGATGGTATATAATTCTATGTAAGCTAGAAAATGTGTTCCCAAAAGGTTAACTTACAATATTCCGCCATATTGCCAAATAAAAATGTGTTGCCTCTAAGAACACTGGGTAATATCTCTCGTTGTAAGGCCACGTGTATAGTCACATGATCACCTAGCGAGTAAGGCTTGTGACAGTCGTTTAGGAATGTTTCGCGATGCCATAACCAAACATGCTTGTTTGTGAAAAATATACAACATATGACATATTTAATAGGCCATCTTTATAGCTAAAAGTGTGCACAAGAAGTTAGGTAGACAATCGCTATCTGTATGACATCGTGAGCGGCGGTGTGTTCGATTTGTTGTTGCTACTATATATGACCTAGATATTCACAATACCGCTGCCACTAGTAAGCGCACCAACATGTGAGAGGCCCTGTCTGTTTTGGCGTTAAAAATGTGTACTACTGCGCATTTCACGTGCACATTCTCATCTGATACTAATAGTATATGTGCTTAATTATCAAAATAAAACATCTCTTGGTCGAAATCGGTTACAGCTGACACACAATAACGCAAAAGAGCACAGAGGGGCTCGTTTGGGGTTCCGTAATAAGCACAGCGGGCGTATCTTATAACAGTGAAACCAGTGAAGTTAGCATATCGGGGCGAGTGTCGACACATCCGTTTGTCGACCCGCTCACCAGCGTTGTTATTGCAATACATAAATATGTAAATTAATTGTTAATTGAAGAGAGTATCATACGACGTATTTGTGACTATTTTCTCTCCACAACTCCATTCTCCACGCCTCTGCTATACGCTGCTTTAAAATATCGACTATATGATCTGAGCTGAAATTATCGGCGTGTCATAGTTTCACACTAGATGATTATTTATGAGTAATTTTGATTTAAAAAATAAATGAAACAATAAAATGTTATTATCACAACTTGATTTGGTTGATAATCTAGCATAATGTGTCGCAACCCCTGCGTGGCATTATAGTCCTTAAAATTTATGTTTCATTTTATACGTTTCCTTATAAAAATCGACAACACTTTAATTTATCATTGTTCATTAACAATTCTTGAATTCATATGCGTGTCGTTACAACTGTGAAAAAAAAAGTGAGTGAGTGAGTTAGGTTTGACGCCTACTGAGAAAAAAACTCTCCACAAGATAGTTTACACATAAAATGTAGGTGGGATAGGTGGGATAGGTGGGAGACATTTCCGTGTTCATGATATAAAGCTAACAGAATGAAAATTATATTTCACACTGAATTAAAAATACACAACACGAAGATTTTTGTCTTCTTTGTTATGATGATCTCAGATAAGAGTATATAAGAATGTGAGTGAGTGAGTATGGTTTTACGCCGCTTTTAGCAATATTCCAGCAATATCACTGCAGGGGACACCTGAAATGGGCTTCACACATTGTACCCATGTCGGGAATCGAACCCGGGTCTTCGGCGTGACGAGCGAACGCTTAAACCACTAGGCTACCCGACCGCCCTATAAGAATGTAATACAATATCTCTTTATGCATCTTGTTCTCGGTTCGAACACATAATTTTCGACGATGCTAATATATAGGAACACGGGTCACGTGATACAATATGACACAGCAACCGGCAATGGACACACTACGCCAAATAATGGCCAGTAGATTCGAATTAAGCATGCATGCGCACACAGATGGTTGACATGTGAACATGAATTTCATGTGAATGTTTTCCGCATGCAACGGCGATATCCCATAATGCTTTGTCATCCATGCAAACATTAGAAATGTCAAGGCGACGGTACACGACTCCAACGCCATCGTCGCGTATACACAGTCACTAGCTACGTAGGATGACCCCTACGCGGAATATCAGAGCAGCTTGCATGCATACAACGTAAGGAAAAAAACATAGTCTATAATTATCACAAGTAATGGACACCGGGTGGTCAGGCATTGGAACTTAGTGAGTGAGTGAGTGAGTTTAGTTTTACGCCGTTTTAGCAATGTTCCAGCAATATGACGTCGGGGAACATGCACTTGAAATGGGCTTCACACATTGTACCCATGTGGAGAATCGAACCTGGGCCTTCGGCGTGACGAGCCGATAACCACTAGGCTACCGCACCGCCCCCTTTGTAACTTAGCTGATTATATAAGCGGTCACCGTAACCCTATGGCTCGATGATATATATCCCGCCGTCTAACAATCTTCACTAACTCTCCCGTATATATATAGAACTGTCGTTCGTACAAGATTTGTTGCATGGACCAATTTTGATGACTTATTTTTTAGGGAGATATAACCTTTGTGAATTGACCTAAGTGGAGGAGGTCCAGGTATGATTCAATACCCTAAACTACCGCATCCACTGTCTGTTAGCACTTAATTAACTATGATTACCGTTATTATACAAAGAATCAATGTCTCCGTTTCACATGCACATATTCACTTCTATCAAAACGTCTATAGCACTATACATGCGCGATATTGGTACCAGATTAAGCTTACCTTTAAGTTCATGTTCTGAGTGGCGTGAAACTGTCGTTTTCCACTTTAGTGACACCAGTTTGTTTGTTGTTTAACGCCGCACTCAGCAATATTCCAGCTCTATGACGGTGGCCTGTAAATACACATGTAATCGAGCATGGACCAGACAATCCAGTGATTGATAATATGAGCATCGATCTACGCAATCGGGATACGATGACATGCATCAAACCAAGTCACCGAGCCTGACCACCCCATCCCGTTAGTTGCCTCTTACGATAAGCATAGTGACACCAGTGCCCATTTGCATTTGTTAAATTGAACTAAGAGATAAAATATCAGTCTGCAAAACCAGGCAACATGACCGAGTGCGAAATCAGGCACTGCCCGAAGCGCTCTTTAAATCTATAACATCTGACAACTAGACGGGTGATTGTGATTTAGTAAGCTGACCCAGTCACGCGGGCCAGGATTTCCTTTTGCAAAACACAACCAAGTTACAATAAGAGAGTACATGTGTGAAGAAACGCCTAAAGTGATCACGAGGAAGTGAATTGTGTGTAACAATTAGCGCTCTACCAAACACGCGAAAATACATATCGTCGGGGATGTGGTGCTGTAGGATAGACTGTGTTGTGGTTTAAAAGTTCTCTCATCACGCCGAAGACTCAGGTTCGGTTGGATTGTGTGAAGTCCATTCTCAGAGTTCTCTCACCTTGATGTGAATGGATTAGTGCTGAAAGTAATGGTAAACCACTCACTTATTCGTCGTGAATGTTTGTTTGTTTGTTGTTTAATGCCGCACTCAGCAATATTCCAGCTATGTGACGGCGATCTGTAGAATAATTGAGTCTGGACCAGACAATCCAGTGATTGACATCATGAGCATCGATCTACGCAATTGGGATACGGTAGTATGCATCGATCAAGTCAGCGAGCCTGACCACCCTATCCCGTAAGTCGTCGTGGATTTGAGGTGACGTGAAATGGGGACTAAAGACGCGTTCATGATTATTGCACTTAAATAGTGACGTGCCTGCATGCATGCTCGCGCGTGTGTGTCGGTGTGTGAGTTTGTGGCTGCTTGTACTAATTTCGGATTAATGCTGGTTTTATAGTGCCAGCCCATCGGATACCGTAGCATGCATACCCAACTCAGACACAGTATACTGACTCCTAGCCGAACAGTTCGAGCGCCACCGGGCAGGGTAACAACAAGTACCATTTTTTAAAACTCTTTTGGTATGACGTGGCCGGGGATCGAACCCCTGACCCCCGGCCTGTAAGACGTTCTAACCACAAGACCACGGAGGCGACCACACACTCGTGGACATGGTGCTGTATTGAAGGATTATGTTGACTCTGTAGTGGTTAAAATATTTGCTCATCGCACCGGAGACCCAAGTTCGATTCCCACATGGATTCAATATGTGAAGTCCATTCTTGGTGTCACCTCACCGTGATATGGATGGAACAGTGCTAAAAGCGACTGTAAGCCACCACTCATTAGCCGTGGAAGTACCTTCTTGTGTCTGGTGGCATATGGAGCGGTGGGCATGCCTAGTGGTTAAAGTGTTCGCTCGTCACGCCGAAGGCCCGAGTTCAATTCCTCAGATGGGTATAATGTGTGAAGTCCATTTCTGGTGTCCCCTGTCTCGATATTGCTGGAATATTGCGAAAAGCGGCGTAGACCTAAAAGTACTTACTCTGGTGGTCCTAATTTCGACGCCGTGTAAAGGCGTAACCAGTATACGACGCGAGACAAACTAGTTTGTACAGTAAACATCACATTTCACCCCTGTCTGTCAGCAGCTGACCTGGTGTGAACGAAGGTTGATTGTGGAGACGTTTATACACTAAATTCAAAATTTGATGACTTCACATCTTTTGAAGCCGGTGCCCAAATGACAATTTGGTAACGAACTCAGGAAAGCATGAATAACGTGGCCTTATTTTGTTGACGTCTTAGATGAGATCTCGCGGATATAGAGGATATTATATGAGTTCTCATGTCATACTATGTTTACGACAAGAGTGTTTAAATTCCGGTATTTCCCGAGCGATATTACCGAAGATGCCTACATACATAGACGAATTTTAGTGTTTGCCTATAAGGACAGCAAGTCTCAACAACAGCGGAACCACAACTTGTCGAATGACGTCAACAATCTTCAGGTATGAGGTCGTTTCTAGTCTGACGTCATTCCGACCTCACGTCACAATAAGATTCGAATGACGTCAACAATGCCGTCCGGATGACGAAAACAATACACTGTTGTCTCGTGACGTTATATGACCCTAGGGCACATATGCTTTTTATGAACCCCGATATGTTTTCCCTCGTAGGTAATAAGTTTCGTTATGTTGCTAAGTGTTAGGTAGAATAGGTCTTCAACAGCCCATGCTTGCCGTAAAAGGCGACTATGCTTGTCGTAAGAGGCGAGCAACGGGATCGGGTGGTCAGGCTCGCTGACTTGGTTGATTCATGTCATTGTATCCCAATTGCGTGGCTCAATGCTCATAATATCAATCACTGGATTGTCTGGTCCAGACTCGATTACGTACAGACCGCCGTCATATAGCTGGAATATTGCTGTGTGCGGCGTTAAACAAGAAAAAACAACCCCCAAA